TGTGTGTGTGTGCACTGTGTGTGTGTGTGTGCACTGTGTGTGTGTGTGTGTCTGTGTCTGTGTGTCTCTGTGTGTGTGTGTGCACTGTGTGTGTGTGTGTGCACTGTGTGTGTGTCTGTGTGTGTGTGTGTGTGCACTGTGTGTGTGTGTGTGTGTGTGTGTGTGTGTGTGTGTGCACTGTGTGTGTGTGTGTCTGTGTGTGTGTCTACACACACTGGGGATTGAGTCAGTCCAGCATGGTCTCACCTGGGGGCATCACTTCAGACTCCTGTGTCCAGGGTTCCCAGGTGTGGGACATGCTGCATGAGATGCATGCTATGAAAGCACGACAGACTGGCCCCACAGACAGTTTGCACAAAGAAAAAGGCTGGCTTTTGTGAGAGTCACAAGCCGCAGCAAAAACTTAAAATGCCTTGCTGGAGGCACTCCAAAGCCCACGCAGCTGCCCATTGACCTCCTTGTCCCTGTTTGAGTGCCTCAGCATCTGCCTTTGGTGAGTGCTAAGCGCCTCACGTGTGGCTCAGTGGCCTTAGCCACATCCATGCCTGTCTGCCCGAGGAAACTGGCCTGGCCACACATGCAGGGGTATCTGGGCTGGTGCAGGCTGATGCAGGTGGGGGTGTGGGTTTGCAGCATCCCAAGGAGCCCTGGGCACAACTGCCCTGCAGCTGGGATGCTGAGGGGAGGGGAGACAGAGGCAGCCACTGTGAGGGAGTCCTTCATCCAGTCTGTCTCTGGGCAGCGGTGATCGCCCTGTTCTGCAGACAATATGATATCATCAAGGATAATGACTCCAACAACAACAAGGAGAAGACAAAGCCGTCCTCAGAGCATAGCACACCAGAGCGACCAAGCGGAGGGCTGCTGCGGAGCAAGGTGAGTGGGGAGGGCGGGCAGGAGCGATGGCATGTGGCGTCTGCTGGGGCTTGCAACCTGGATGGAGTCTGGCTCTCTCCAGAAATGGAAACAACCTGGCTTGTGCTCTCACCCCAAAGGCTGAGGGCTTTTAGGGTTCAGTGAGCCCTGGTCTCTGATGCGGTGTTTGTGCCCCATGGGTGATTGCCAGAGAAACACTGGAAGAGACGACAAGATAAAACAGCTGGGATAGCTCTTGCATCGCAGGGTGGTACCTGACCTCTGACTGTAACAGACCCTTCATCACGCCCCTCCAAGGCTGCATCTCTCCTGCACTGATGGACAGGTCTGGCTCCTTCCTGTTCAGGCAGGAGTGGACATGCTAGGCAGCTGTTCTCATGGTTCCTGCACTGGTCTGTGAGCGCTCACTTTCTGCCTTCACTGCAGCTGGCTCTGGGTCATCACCACACAAGTTATTCCAGAGCCCCTTCCTCACCCTGGTGAAGTGCTATGCCAGGCTGTGGATGGGGAGGGACCGGTACCTTCATCTGGCTGTTCCCTCAGCACCTGACAATTCTCCCTTTGCTACCTGCCAAAGACAGTTATAGCCCCGATACTCTAATGAGACCGTATGTTAGGGCTTTGCTTGTGTCTCATCTGCTGCCTGTCAAGGGTGGGAACTCTCCTTACTGTGTAGCCTGACTTCCACACTGATTCCACATCTTGGTTTCCAGCAGATGTCAGGAGCAGAGGCTTCCTGTTTGGATTTAAGTCCCAAGTTCCCCTCCTTCTGATTCTTCAGCTTGCTGATTACTCCTTGCCAAAGAGATCCCTCCTCTTGGATCTCGACTCCCTGACCCTGCTCTGCTGAGGTCTGCTGGTCGTGATGGCTGCTGCAGGCTGAGGGGCTCTGACATCGGGTCTGATTCCAGGGGTGCAGCAAAGCAGGGTCTTAAAGTAGATTTTTCTCTCATAGAAGAAATCTCCCTCGGTCAATATCATCGAGGTGTAAGTGCAACACCAGCTCTGCCGTCTGGGATCTTGGGTGTCCTGCCAGAGCCAAAGCAGGCCTTGGAAGAAGAGGCAGCACCAGGCATGCGGCCTGGAACTCAGCATGTGACGATCCACGTATCAGAACTCTCGCTTTCCTGAGGGCATCTGTCTGGGGATGTGCATGGAGCCAGCTCCCAAGCTATGCATGCAGAGCATGGCTCTGCCCATCCCACACACCTGGCCCTCCTCCCCTCCCGGTGGGAAGCATGAAGTTGAGGATGGGTGGGGGGCCACACCACTGGCTAGGGTGGGAGGGAGCCAAGGGGAGCCAACGGGCTGATGCAGTGGCCTGAGGGGAGGCCTTGTCCCTGTGCACCAGCTTGGCCACAGGCCTGGGTGCAGCTGTGGCACTGCACACCTGCCCTGCATCAGGGGGCAGACCTTGCTCTCAGCTGCCTGTTTGGCCTTGGGTGTTGCTTGCAGAGGGCAGGAGCTGCTCCCCTCAGGGCGCCAGGGCTGAGGAAACAGGGCAGTGCAGGCATTGCCCTTGCACTGCCAGGAGAGCTGTGGCCAGGTGGCAGGAGGCTTGGGTTCAGCCAACACGGGATGAGTGGATTGCTGCTGGAGAACAGGGCTCTACTGCACCCTGTCATGGCCCCCTTGTCAGGGGCTTCAAATTCTCTGTCTACAGACAGAGGACAAAGGCAGAGGACAAAGACACGAGGCACAATGAGGAGCTGGTGCTGTCACAGTGCCTGGCCAGTGCACAAAGCCTGCAGCTGAGGCAGGGAGTGCTGGTGGAAGCTCCCACTGGGAAAGTGGACAGTGTCAGGGCATGGCTGTGTCTCCGGTAGGGCTCAATGCTGGCACGTTCAGGCTGTTTGAGGGAAGCTGCCAAGCACTTTTTGAGCAGCACTGTGCCTGTGCTGCCTGGAGGAGACAATGTGGTGAGGCCCACAAGGTGTCAGTTGGAGGGAATGGGGTGAAACAAGGATGCTCCCTGCTGCCCTGGCTGCTGCTCTCCCTCCATTCAGACAGGCTCTGCAGCCCTGGACTCAAGCATCACAGGATCCAGCGTCTTCCAGGAATAAATCTCCCAGTAAAAGCACTTTCAGGACTTTTCCTTCCAGGTGCTGCTCAGCTCCTGCTGCAGGACTAGGCGGGGAGGGGACAAGATAAGCAACTCCTATGGCAGGGTCTTTTCAATAAAAACATCCTGGCTCAAAGGCAGCATCAGAGCTGTAGGTCTCTGTGTGTGTCCATGCATGCATACAAGTTCTTGAATGCATGTGTCCTGCCCCATAGGGGATCTGTTTGTGCATGCTGTGCAAGAGCTGGAGGTCCTCCATGCTTACCTTGCACTCCTCTGGCTCTTGAAGGAGAGCTGCTGCTGCAAGCCGGGCCATCTGGTCCCACTGAGGGAGACATCCTGGCTGCTCCTCTGCAGAGAGCAGAGACATCCCAGCAGCAGAGCCAAGAAGGGGCCAAGGTCTGACCTTGACAGGCTGCTGGTCAGAGGGGCCTGTGCTGCTCCTTGCTCTGCTGAGAGGTACCCGAGGAGCAACAGCACCATGACAGAGGGATGGAACTGTTGCTGGGCTGTAAACTGGGCTGCAGAGAACACAGCCACAGCTCCAGAGACACAAACACCTTGTTTTGCCTGCTAGCTCTTTTTAAGGAGGTACATTAAAAAAACTAGGTCTGTCAGGGAAATACAAGAGTTTTAAGGATGTTCTAGTGCTCTGGAAAATGTTTAGAAGTTCTGTCTTGGAATATCATAGCAGACATACCTGCTATCATGAGATTTTTAACCAGGCCAGAGGCACATACAAAGAATTAGGATCAGGCAGAGGTGAGGGACTAGGGAAGGCACAAAAAAAACCCCAAAAAAACAAAAAGAGTCAAAATGCAGAGGTTTTGACCACATAAAAAAGGAACACTAGTCTGACATTAAACGTGAAATCAGGGTGTGTTGTTGAGGAAAGAGCCCTTTCCCTCTGAAACACCCCCCCCCCAAAAAAAACAAAAACCCCAAAACACAAACAAATAAACAAAACCAAAACAAGCCCCCAATCACTACTTCTTCTCAGACTATGGCAGTGCAGGAGGGCAGGGAAGTGCAGAGATGAGTGCTGGAAGCTGAAAGCCTGATAATGATCTGCTCACCCTAACAAGTTATGTGTTGCTCTGTACTCCCAGCTGAAAAAAAAAAGGCATGAAACCACATTCAATATGCAAAACCTTAAATGAAAAAAAACATGCACAGCTCCTGACTGATCTGTCAGCCCAGTGCCTGTGGCACTCGCTGGGAGAGCAGCCCTGCCACCCCAGTTGCAGCCAGCGATCGTGCTCAGCTGAGAAGGGCAGCTGTGCAGAGATGTGACAGGAACCCAGCAGTGAGGGGCTTGGCCAGAACACAGCTGCAAGCTGCCACTTGCCAAAGAAACCGGACATGCTGCAGCCTCCCCTGCTGCATCTGAGGAAGGAAACCAAATGCATGGCTTGCCTCCATAGAGCACAGCTGGGGTGCAGCAGGGCAGAGACACTTCAGAGCAGCTGGCACACAAGGGCTTGTGTCTGCCCTGGCTTCAGAGTGGTCAGCAGCACCTCCTGTCAGTGCAGGTGACATTCACAGGTGCTCAAGACACTCGTACAACAGAGCCTGAACCTGCTCCTCCCAAGTCATAAAGGCACCCTGGGCCCTGGCAGCCCTCGGCAGAAGGAGGAACTGCTCCCTCAGGGCTCACAGCCAAGGAAGGTGTGGGAGGTCCAGGCTCCATGAGCCTGGGGCACAGCAACCCTCACCACAGGCAGTGCAGGAGACAGAGTACCCTGCATGCTTATGCATGGCACCCATCCAGGACTCAAACCCAACTGACAACAGTAAAAAACTCAGTTTATTTCTCTATAAAGGCAGAGCATTTCTTTAAAAACCAGGTCATTTCACTTGTGAGAGGGTAGGGGGTTGAACTGCAGGGGCAAGGCCTTCATCACACACTGCTCCAGGCCAAGAGCTGTTGCTCCCTGAGGGTGTACACTGCCTGCATCAGGAAGGCTCAGAGCACGCAGGGTGGTCCTGCATGGCCTGGGAGTGAGCAGAGTGAGGAGCATCGGTCCTCCAGCCCAAGCTGGGAGCAGCTGCAGCGCGAGGCGGTTCATGCAGGCAGCACAGGACAAGGAGAAGGTGTTACAGCCTGTGCACTCCATGGCAGCAGTGCCAGCGGCCCCCGTGTCAGGAGGGCAGTGCCAGGGCAGTGGCAGGCACTGGCTGGCGCAGGTGCAGGCACAGGGTGAATCCTGAGTGGCTGGTCCGTTGTTGCAGAGATTTGGCTTAGCCCAGGGGAGTCTTGGGGCCAGCACTGGGTGAGTGTCCAACCCCTCCCAGCACCGTCCAGCTGTCCGGGGGCGGCCCCAGGCGGTAGCATAATAGCTGTGCTGTAGGAGAGTTCAGCGGGGGCACAAGAAGCATTAATTCTGAAAAGTGAGCATCAGCCCCCCCTTGCCTTACAGAGGACATGCTGGGGGATGAGACACCGCATCACTGAAGAAAGTTACCTGCTGGGCTGTGTGTTCCCCTCTCCAGCTCCTCCATGCTGCTTTGGAAGAGAACACAGCATGCATCATACCCCAAGCATGGCCTCCTGAGACACAGCATGCTCATGACCCTGACACGGCAGGAATGGCACAGGAGCAGCAGGTACTGGGAATGCAGAAGGCTCTAAGCCCCCTTGCTACCAAACTCTCTTCCCCGGCCAGCCTGTCCCAAGACTGCAAAGCCATATGTCCTTCCCATCAGGAGCCCCATGTCCAAAAGGGTGGTGCTTCATTGGACTACACGTACAGCTCCAGTCTGTGCACACACTGGTTCCTGGGTGACGCTGGCTCAACCCAGCCTCAGACCTGCCAGACCCCAGCTGGGTGCCTGCTATGATGTACATGGAGAACAGCCACGATGGAATGGGCCTCACAGGGCAAACCTCACAGGTTTCTGCAAACCTGCAGGTTAATCCTCTCCGCTGTACCATCAGCTCCTCCCCAGCACAGGATACACACCATCAAGCTCAGCCCACAGGCCCAGTCCACTCAGAAGTCAGTATGACCAGGCCTCCATCCTGGTCCAACCCCCAGGGAAATGAATGGGAGAAGAAGGACAACTGAGTCCCATGTGAGAGGCATGTCTGGACAGGCTGGCCTCACCAAAGACTGGCAGAGAGTAAGAAATATCTCTGGATGCATCCTGGCCATCAACATAAGTCCCCCACATCTCTGCTGCAAAAGCTGGACTGCATGGTCTGTTCCTCCACCACTCAACCAACCCTCTGTTTGCTTGAGTTCTCAGCTCATAGAAGCAGAGAAAGACCAGGAAACTCCCCCCTTGGTTCCATGCAGCTCTCCTCCATGATCGCACCATGCCCATGGCCCAAGCAGCTCCCCTTGCATGGGGCACAGGGAAGGAAACACGACAGAGTTCATTAGAGATATCCCTGAATACAAGCAGCAGCTTACCACCTACCCAGGTAAGGTTTCATTGACATCATCATCTTCCTCCTCCTCCTCCTCCTGGCAAGCAAACAAACAAAAACCCACCATGACATCTCATTGCATGGGCAGGTCTCTGCCAGGAGCAAGGCGGGGCTGCTCAGATGCCGTCTGGCCCCTTCACAAGACAGTCACACCCCAGGCACAGTACAAAGGCTTCCCACAAGCAGTGGGGAAAGACTGGAGTGCTGAGCTGCCAGAACCCTCTGGGCTTGGGCACACAAGGACAGACAGGCCATAGCTTGGCCCCTCCAGGTGCAAAGCCTCAAATGCAAGCATGGACCATGCTGACAGAGCTGGTGACACAGTGCAGCTCTGCCCAGGGACAGTGGTGAGTGGGCACACCCTGCAGCTGGAGGGGCAGGCAGAGACTAGCAGGAGCAGGCTGCACATAGGTACAACCCCAAGCACTGCCAGGATGGACTCACACTGGAAACATGAGGCCCCGGACCAAGCATCCAGAAGCTCCCAGACAGGGATATAGTGAGACCAGGATGACAATGCTCCGATAGCTGTGGCCATGCAGGAGGTGCAGTGCAGATGGGCTGGGCTGAGCCTTAGCCCAGGCTGGCAGGATGATGATCCAAAGGTCCTCTCCTTCAGAGGCAACTCTCACCCCAGCCATGAAAGCAGGTGTGCAGCCCAGGTCCCAGGTCCCTGTGTGACAGGGCCAGCAGAGCAGGGCTGAAGCTACAGCAGTGCTGGGCCTGAGAGCAGAGCTTCTGAAGCACAGACACCAAGGGACTGCACCTGCTGTGTGAGCTACACAGTACAGTACACCTCCTCACATCAGGCTGCCATGTGTGATGGGGGCTGTGCAGGGTTCTGGGAGGGCAGGAGCAGGGAGCTGCAGAGGGGTCACTCTGTCCCTGCCCTAATTCCAGACAGCCCTGGACATGGGCCTGACTTGCACATACTGTACCCCAAAGTGGTGTCTGAAGAGAGCGCTCCCTGAGGGGGCTGGCTCACAGGGTCTGCCAGGCTCACTGCTCTCCAAGACACATGAAGGGTGAAGGGGCTGATCCTGCCTAGAGCCTGGGACAGGGCAAAAGCAGCAGAGTTAGTGCCTGCAACCTGCAGAAAGCCCAGCTGGGAATGTACAGGCAAGACTGTGCGTTGGGAATGGGGAATCCCTGCAGTGCTGGCAGGAGGGTACAAACACAGGTGAGAAGTCACTGCTCAGGGCAGGTGACCTGAGCTGGGCTACAGCTCAGGCAATGCACAGCAGTTCAGCATAGACAGCAGGTACACCTCCCACCCCAGGCAGAGATGGGCACTACCAGAGAACACAACCATAAGGACAGCACTCCCTGTTTGGTGTGTTTCACCAGCCAGGCAGCAAGCCATCTCCCCTCCAGGCAGCCCAGGACAGGATCCCACACCAGAGACACTGATTCCAGGGCTGTGCAGAGGGATATATCTGAGAAATTCCTCCTACCTGCAGCATGTGTTGCCTCCCAGAGATCAAGTGCCATCTGAAAGGCCTGGGCCACGGTCAGAGTCACAGCCTGGGCCTGTGCATATGAAAGAGAGGGAATGCCTGCTTCCACCTGGGCCCTCAATCCAGGATAACCCCACTGCCATGAGGTGAGACCCGCGCCCCAGCATCCCTTGATGCCTTTCTCTGCAGAATACACAGATAGAAGGCCAGAGCTCAGTTCTGTGTCTGTCTGCCCCTGGAGGCCAGCCACCCTCTAGAGCAGACCCTCAGGAGTTGGGACAGGAAATCCCCCTTTGCTCACTCCCTGCCTCTGCAGCACATAAGCACACCTGGTCCCTGGCTCAAAATCCAACTGAGGTTCGCAGAGGTAAAGTCCTTCTGCCACTGAAGGCAAAGAAAGCAGGCCCTTGCTCCCACCCATACCTCACGGAGCCAAGAGCAGAAGGCGAGTGCTTACAATCTTCTTCTTCGGTGAGAGGAAGGCATGGCACTCCAGTGCCCCGCTCTCCTGGCTCTGGGCAACATAAGCAAAGACCTTGTTCTGCAGCTTGTCTGTTGTGCAGTAGGAGATCCTGTGGGCAGAGAAGAACTGTCAGGACAGTCTGGAACCCTGGCATGAGACTTCTGCTGCACTCCCAGCACATCAGCAAGCACTGCTGACAACCTGAAGCTTTCACCTGCCCGAGCTGACCAGACAGCCCAAACCCCCAGCAAGGGCCAGAGGTCGCCTGGTACCTGCAGCAGATAAGAAATCACTGCATCCACAGGCACTCCCTCCTGTGCCATCCCAGAGTGCCATGTAGTTTTCTGATGGCCAGCTCAAGCCAGTGCGTGAACTCAAGCTACTCAAGCTTTGGGACAAGAGGAGCACAGAAGGGTGGGTAATTGCCTCCAAGGACACAGCTGGAGGCCAGGCAGAGGGATGGTCTGACCTGGTACATCAGCTCTGGTGCTGAGACCTACATTTTGCAGCAAAGAGATGTCCCATGTCTGCTTCCCATCTAGCCACCAGACTGCACACTTACTGCCCTCACACCCAGCACCCACAGACACCCAACCCAGCCAAAGGACAAGTGGTAGCACGAGAAATCAACATCAGCTCTCACAGCAACTGCCTTTAGCCCACCCAAGTAAGCTGCAGTTTCTGGCATCCTGCAGCCAGAAGAGTGCTCCCACAGCAGTGAAGACAGACACGCAGTTCTGTCCTGTCTGCGGGGCTTTCCAGTCTCAAGCCTCAAAATCCTGCTGAATGCCAGAAGAGACAAGCAGGGCACATGGAAATGATGGATAAGCTGATGAACTCAAGGCCACACAGGACCCTGCCTACACTCAGCCTCAGGCAGTGCTGGGAGCACAGCAGAAAGAGGGCACAGGCCTCAGAGAGCCAAGGAAAGACCTAAGCTTGAAGGTACTGCTGACAGAAGGCCCAGCCCTCCCTGGCTGCTCAAATTCCCATCAGTCTGCAGCTGGCTGCTGGGGACCACCCAGCCCACACCCATGTATGCCCACCTGTAGATGGAGATGTTCTCCACCATCTCCTTAGTGTCTGCATCCTGCAGTGAGATGCCCCTTGGAGACACTGTCAGAATCACCTTCTGAAACTTGCGAGCTCCGACCTGTGCCTGGCAGTGGAAAAACACCAACAATCTCTGCAAATCTGGCAAGGGTCTTCACCTCACCCCTTTGCTGGAAGGAGCCCTGCAGACTCTGTACAGTATCACTCACTTGGATACAAGATGGGACAGCAGTCTGGCAATCAGGCATGCCCTACACACACCACTCCTCAAATCTGTTCACACTACTGCCACACACACAGGAAGGGACAGACCTCACCTCTCCCAGTACTTGACCCTCCTCTCTGTGCTGTGGCAGGCAAAGCTCTGCTCCCAGCCAGGTTCAGGTGTGGGAGCAGGTGGCTGGGGCTGTCCTGGTGGAAGACAACTTCCCCACAGCACACTGGCAGACACCAGTAGCCTCCTGCGTACCACCCTCCTCTTAGGAAGGGCACAGTCTCTCACTGGAGTTCAGGGCTAGGACACAGTCCTAGAGTGCAGGGACTGGGCTCTGAACCCAGCATACCAGGGCCCCAGGACTGGGTCTCACCGTGGCCACGATCCTGCGGATGGCAGCAGCAGCCATGTCTTCTCCTTTTGGTTTTTCTACCAGCGTCATGCCCAGATACTTGAGGGTGAAGCACATCCCCTCAAGCAGTGGCTCCTGCATATCAGCCCAGCTCTCAGGAAGCTCTACGAAGACAAAAGCCCTTAGAACCCATGTTCCAGCAGTCCCACAGCTAGTTCTGCCAGAGTCACCCCATGGCTCCCAGCAGCAGTGTTGGTCCCTGCCCCCAGCAGGACACTCTCCCTCTGTGACACCCTCGTAAGAGGAACAGGAGTGGGCAGTTCACCCTTGAAGCTCTAGTCCTCTAGCCCTGGAAGTCCAGGTTCTGTCAGCACAGACAGACAGCTCCTGCATACCCGCACAGGGCTGTGGATGCTGCAGCCCTCATTGCTGCCTGCAAAAACCTTGCGCTCCTGGGTCTCATCTGTTTCATTACAAACAAAATGTTCTCTGTAGTGCATTCATCTCAGTCACCTGGGCTGCTCACACACCTGAAGAGCAGCAGCATTCACTGCCAGGCTCAGATGAAAATCCCTCGACTGGCCCAGTGTAAGCAAACCCCTTGGCATCTCATCTGCAGCAGCAGGCTGCCAGGGCAGGGGCAGCTTAGTCCGCATTTGTGATCCAAGCTGGGGTGACTGGGAAGTAACTGCACCACAGAGATACTTTCTTAAGAAAGAGATAAGAATTGCCAAGGTATGCACTACTCACACTAAGCTAATACTTTTCAGGGTTATTTTCACCTCTTCCCTGGGATTTGCTCCCTGAGCATTACTGGCACACTTGCAGAAGGGTCCAGCTCATAATTAGAATAATCTGAACCCACAGGGAAATCAGGAGACTTTATTTGCACAGCATACTCTTGCACAAGTGACTACTATCAGGGAGGCTGCCTGGTGCCATGCAGGCACCAGTGACCTCCATCCCGGCCAGTAGAACCCTGTCTGCCCCTGGGGGCCAGCCACCCTCAAGAGCAGACCCTCAGGAGTTGGGACAGGAAGCCCACAGGAGCTGGGCAGTCCAAGTACACCAGCGCTGCCAGGGCAAGTGCTGCTCCAGCAAAGCCTTGGGCAGCTGACTGAGAACAGCCAGACGAGGCCCTCCAGTGCCACAGGGTACCTGCGGGATCATGGAATCATGGAGCGGTTTGGGTGGGAAAAGACCTTAAAGCTCATCCAGTTTCACTCCCACAGGCAGGGACACCTTCCACTAGACTAGGTTGCTCGAAGCCCCGCGCAGCCCAGCCCTGAACACTTCCAGGGATGTGTCCGTGGATTGCTGTGGGATCCTGCCGCAGACAGCACGGGCTGGCCTGGCACACAGGCAGAGGAGCAGGCGCGGCAGCCCGAGGGGCCCAAGGCCTGCGGAGGACCCCGGTGCAGCCCAGCGTGTTCCAGCGCCCGGCAGGGCAGTCCAGGCCCGTCAGCCCCCTGTGGCCCTGTGGGGGAGGAAGCGACAGCCCGGGGAGCGGGGCAGAGAGGGCTCGGCGGGAAGCTGCAGCCCTACGGTGCCCCGAGGGCGGCAGGGGCCAACCCCCTCGCCTTCCCTAACCCGGCTACCCCTACAGCCGCTCCCGCTCCCCCCAGTCCTCCAGGCCCCTCAGCCTGCAGCAGGCAGCGGCCGTATTCCGAGCTCGACTGCGCCGAAATCCGGGCTCCCCGCCCGGAGCGATGCCCGGCCCCGGCCCCGACCCCCGCACCCGTCCGCACTCACTGCGCCGCCGGCGGAGACCCAGGCCGTGCCGGGCGAGGCGCGGGCTCCGCAGCACGGCACGCCCCGCCGCACGCAGCGCCTCCATAGCGGAGCGGGGATCGAGCCGAGCCGATCCCTGCCGGTGGGGGGGGGGGGGGGTGGGGGGGGGTCGGTCCCCGCGGACTTGACGCACTCGCGTCAGCGCGGCGGAGGCGACGGGGTTGCCGCGGCGACGGGGGCGGGGCGAGGCGGGCGCCGGAGCGGCGGCGGCGGCGGAGCGGGCCCGTGGGACCATCCCGGCCCCGGGCCCGTGGGACCATCCCGGCCCCGGGCCCGGCCGAGGGCGCGATGCAGCTGCGGCACGTGCGGACCCTGCTGGCCCCGCAGGTCGGGCCGGGCCGGACCGGACTGGGGGGGATCGGGCCGCGGGGGAACGGGCCGGGCCAGGCCGGGCCAGGCAGAGCGGCCCTGACCGGTCTGGGGCGCGTAGCGGCGACGCTGAGGCTGTAGTGTGACTGCTGAGCCGTGTGTGCCCGCTGAGCTGTGTGTGCCCACTCGTGTTTGTTGTGTGATGCTGAGCCGTGTGTGCCCGCTGGGGTTTGTTGTGTGAGGCTGAGCCGTGTGTGCCCACTCGTGTTTGTTGTGTGATGCTGAGCCGTGTGTGCCCGCTGAGCTGTGTGTGCCCACTGGGGTTTGTTGTGTGATGCTGAGCCGTGTGTGCCCACTGGGGTTTGTTGTGTGAGGCTGAGCCGTGTGTGCCCACTGGGGTTTGTTGTGTGAGGCTGAGCCGTGTGTGCCCGCAGGACGGGACGGCGCGGGTGACCTGCATGGCCTGGTCGGCCAGCAGCGCTCGGTTCGCCGTGTGCACGGCGGAGCGCGTGGTGCTGCTCTACGACGAGCAGGGCGAGCGGCGTGACAAGTTCTCCACCAAACCGGCGGACGCCAAGGTGAGCGGAACTGGGCCGGGGCTGGGGCAGCTGAGCTTCCCACCGTCACACCAACCCTCTCTGCAGTACGGCAGGAAGAGCTACGTGGTCAAAGGCATGGCCTTCTCCCCGGACTCCACCAAACTGGCCATCGGGCAGACGGACAACATTGTCTACGTGTACAGGATCGGCGAGGAGTGGTGAGTGTGCGCTGGGGTCCAGGATGCGCTCCGTTCCACCCTGCTGTGGGCTCCCTTAGCTTGATCCTCGCCCTGCCACGCTGCGGTGCCCATCGCCAGACCCGCGGGGAGTCACGCAGATGTCCGAGGGGAGCAGCAGTCAGGTTTCCTCAGCAGGGCTCTTACCGAGCCCTGGCTGGGCAGGCAGCTGGCTGGAGCCTGTGTTGCCATTGTGTGTCACAGTTATGGAGCCATGGCACACACTTGCCCCGCTGCAGCCTCATTTGCTGGCAGGAGCTGTGCTAATGGCACTCAGGCAGTTCACCAGAATTTTGGAAGCTCAGAAGCTCGGGGTCTTTTTGATTTTTTTGCCTCAAGTTGTGATAGACTAGCAGCACATAAAATTTCAATGGACTGTGGCAATATCAAACCAGACCATGTATAAACAGTAAGGTGACCAGAATGTGTAGTGTTGCTGATAGTAATTTTTGTTTATATTTTTCTGCAGGGGTGACAAGAAGGTGATATGCAACAAATTCATCCAAACGGTGAGACCCGTACTTCTGTTGGACTCCATTTTATCTGGCATATGTAGGAAAAGACAATGAGAGGTCTCTCTGCTCATACTCACAGGTGTACTTGGCCAAATTGTCCTTGACCTTTAAAGATCCTAAGAGAATCTCTAAATTCTGAGGCACATATAGCTAATCACAGATGTCCTAATGCCTGGGTACAATAGAGTGAACTGTTGGATGATCAATGCAATCAGTTACAAAACCTTGGGGACTACTTTAGGCATCAGTGGACAGACTGTTTTAAGGGAGTTGAAAGGGAAAAATACAAGACACTCAGAGGCCAACCATTTTTCACAGGTTTGCAACTCTAAACTCCAAGATGCCTTATTAAACAAAATGTAAAGCGTGCAGAATTAAAACTGTGCGATTTCCACATGCTCAATTGCCTCAGGTTTGTGATTTACATCACGTTTGCTCCTTGACCACCTTTGTGTTCTCCTGTTTTGGCTGTGCCTGCCTGTGTGAGAGAGCAATCTGCCCAGCAGGTGTTTGCCAAGGCTTGCCCTGAGATCCGTCTGGAAAAGGCAAAGGTATTAGGAATTCCTTGCACAGAAAACCATCAGAGTGAGAAAATACAGTGCACTGACTACTTGTACCTTTAGAGGCAAAAGTCCAGGAGCTGCCCTAGGCTGTCCATGCAAATGCCATCACCTTGTATTCTCTATCACTAAGAAAGTTCTCTGCAGGATAGGAGGAATCATCGTTCATATCCAAATCCCCAGAAGACAGAAAGAGCTGCTCCTGATGGAGTTGCTGGAGTCTCTGTGCCAGGCTTTCCCAAGCTGTCTCTCAGATGAAGGGCAGCCTCAGCCTCTGGGTTGAAAGCTTACATCTCAGAGTTGGGTCATGGCCTACCACTGTGGTTGCTCTGGGCACTCCAGGGAATTGTGTCTCTGGTGACAGGAAAGCTGCTGCTCAGCCTCTGTTGCTCTGTATTTGAGCTGCTGCACCGAGAGGTCATGAGAATAGAGTGTCATGAGGAGAAGAGAGCAACAGAGGCTTGGTGTCCATTTGTCCCTTTCCTGAACAGGGTGGCTATCCCAGGTGTGGGCACCTTTAGCCTCCCTGGAGAGATCTTTCCTTGTGTACTGCTTGCTGCCTGCCCCACCAGCTGCAAGCCCAGTGGGGGCCTGCTCACCTCTCAAGCTCAGATGCTGTGCATGGTACATGTACATGTTTTTGTATTTTTAATATAGGAATTCAGTAATTTTTTTCTCTCAGTCTCTCATTTCCCCATGCCCTTTCTACCATTTGTAACACAATAAATCCTTTTTTTTCTTCTTTTTTTTTTTTTTCTGGTGCTGTATGTGTGGGGTTTTACCACTGTGTCTGGCTTTCTCCTGTAACAACATTTTTTTATTTACAAATTTTTTAAATGTTCAGTCAATATGAGAGATCATTTATTGAGCCCTTTCCCTCTCCTGCCACTGGGCCCTTTTACACTCACAGTCATCACAGTGTGTGATCACTGTGGCAAGCCAAGCCTCCTGCTGAGGGCCAGGAGGACAAACAATGAGCACATTGCCACAGTGTGAGGCTTGTTCCCAAGCTTTTGTTGTGTTAGAGGGAAAAACAAGAGTCTGACAGATAAGGAGGGAAACACACATGACAGTGGTCTTGGTCATTGGTTGGACATTGAAATTATGAACTGTTTGGTTACCTTGAGACATTTTGTCTGATTGTAGCTGTGTTGTCTGATATGAATGATCAGAGCAGGGATGGAAGATGAGATGTATAAATGAGGGTGTATATGTATCTTAAGCAGCCCCAGATGCTTAAAATGGAACCAAGAGCCAGTGAGGCTGGTGCTGGTGGCACAGTGCCAAACACCAGCCTTCTTACTGACTAGAGTTCTGCAGGGTAGATGTGAAGGGCTTTCAGAAACTTTCTTGGCCTTCCCTTACAGTTGGGTTTTGTGGTCAGCTTTATTCATTCTGACCCCACCTCAGATTTCGAGAATACCTTTGGTTTGGATTTAATGAGCCTGTTTCTACCTGACCTACTTGGTAGTGTCTAACAACCATCTTGTCAATGAAAAAACGAAGACTATTTCTTATTCATCAAATAAAGATCCAATGGACAAGTATTCTCATAGCTATTTCAGAAGTTGTAGGGGTGAAATTATTTTTGTATTTTATACTTGTTGCAAAAAACCTTTTAAAACAGCCATGATTTTATACTATATGCTATTCACCAATAGCATGTGGCAAGCCAATCACCTGCTCAGTGAGTAATACTCTCAAAAGAGCTCCATACTGAACACATCTGTATAACTTTGTTGCCCTCCCGTAGTCCTCCTGAGCTCAATTACTTTGCCCCAGCTCATTATTTTCTAGTTTAAGCTTCAGCATTAAAACCAGGAGTAAGGTTTGTCCAGTATTTTCAGCTACTGTAAGGCCTGTCCAAATGCCTCATCTCTCCTGCCTGAGTAGTGTCTGTTCATGAACTATTTTAGATAGCAATGGGGCAGGAAGTTTAGTAGTGTGGAGATCTTACCTCTCTTTTTACCTCTTCCTTTGCAGAGTGCTGTGACCTGCTTATTGTGGCCAGCAGAGAATGTCATTGTTTTTGGTCTTGCTGAAGGAAAGGTAGAGAAACTTGCAATTTGTGTGACTTTCTTTCCCTTGCTGAGTCTGCCAGGGCCTGCAAGTGGCTGGGCTGAGGGGTAAGAGGCATCCCTGGGCGCCACAGCAATAGCAGCAGAGGGATTACACCATGGACTTAAATTTTCTGGATCCCAGTTTGTCCCTGGATGTTCTACTGGATCTTTTGGATCTTTCTCCAAACTTTTCTAGAAATGTGGAAACGTGACTCCAATTTTTTCACTTCTATAGCATACTGGAAGGCAATGAGCTTCCTGTGATTTCTTTCCCTGGTAATGAACAGGGAAATTTCTGGGAATGTTACTTACCCTGGGGGAGATCCACGTTCCACAGACAAAAGCAACACTGATCATTTTCTCTTTCTCAGGTTCGTCTAGCAAATACAAAGAGCAACAAGTCTTCTACCATTTATGGGACAGATTCCTATGTGGTCTCACTAACTTCCAAGTGAGTATGGCATTGCTTTGTCCTGCCCTGCTTTGGCTCAGTCTCACACCTGCTGCTGACTTGGCATAACAGGGGCCAGTGTGGGAGGTTGCCAGTGTCCTTTTACTGTCACTTACTTGTCAAGATAATAACATACTGTGTATGGATGCTAACTCTGAAATAGAGAGCACGGTGCCTGTGGAAATTGCAGGCCACATAACTTTCTCAGTCTTGCCTGAGAAAGTGGCCTGGGAAATCATAGGGAGGAATTAAAACAATCCTCATAGATAGAGAACAGCCTTGCAGGTGCTGTTTGTCTGTTCCTTGTTTTCTTGCAAGAGAAGGTCGAGGGGTGGTGTACCCCACTGACCACTGATGGTGATGTGTTAGTTTACTAACCAATAAGTTTCTTTTCTGTACTTTTCACGTATCGGTCTATAAAAAAAGACCTAAGGCAATAAACCGAGAGCAGTTCTCCTGATTGACTCCCAAGAGAGTCTGTGTCGTTCTTCTCGCCGTTCCTAATAGAGCGACAACTGTGCTCTCCAGAAGGAATTCCTTCCTAAAATCTGGTACCAGGCTGTGCCACACAGGCAGTCTGGTTGTTCTTCAAACACAATTGAGGATGAAAGTCTCCACGAATTTACTTTATACATTGATGTATTTGAATCTGTGACTCTATAAGGATTACATTTGTCAGCTTCATGTAACTAATAACTAATATTAATCATATGTAAGGATTAAAAAAAGTAAGGACATTCTGCCAGATAAGACCTTTGACAAGGCTATAATTAGGAAAGTAACCATAAAGTGCAATTCAAAATTATTTTCATTAAGATTTCATTTTAACTACTTTAGTGTTCTTTACCTAAAAATTGAGATGTGTCATGGAGTGGAATTTTCACTTTGAAATTGTGAAATTTCAAACTGAATTTGAAAATTTGAAATTGACAGATCCATGAATGCTGAATTGCTGCAGCATCCATAGAATTTGTATTCTGTTTTTGAATCTTCTAATCTTCATTAAAACGTGTTTCTCTGGGTACATGATCTTTGGCCTGTTTCTTCTTCTTTGCTCTCTTCTCCCTTCTTGTGTCCAGAAGTACAAGACATCGGCGCTATAAAAAATGGACATAGGCCTGGAGTTTTTGGCCAGGTGTTCTTTGCCTACATCGTGTTTCTTTTAGGGATTCCCAGTATCATAATATCCAGCCTCAGCTCTGGAACAGTTCCAGTGCAAGAGCTGTTTGACACATATTGCTGTAAGCACTTGTGAGCTTCTGGGTTTTAGTAATACAGAAATTCATTTATTGTGATTTTACATGATGAAGATACTTAACTGGTTACTCTCCACTCCGGGTCCTTTTTCTGCTTTCTTTTCACAGATACTGGCACAGGTACTTGATATTTTTCCCTTCCTTTCCCTTTGGGGAAGATTCCTTTGATGAGGAATATCAACCATGACCCTGGGAATGGCTGCTCTGGGCAGGGATATGAGTATAAAGGTGCAAGTCTTACATTGCATCATCCTGTCTGTGTTTTTCTGCAGTGTTTCGGGGAAGGGAATCCTGTCTGGCCATGCAGATGGAACCATAGTGCGCTTCTTCTTTGATGATGAGGGTTCAGGTGAATCACAGGTATCAAAGATCCTTCGATGAGCAAAATTCCTATTTGCACAGCCTGCTTCCTGGCTCCAGAGCTCTGGAAAGGGATCAGACTGTGGAGGGAGTGGAAGTCTGGAGAGGAGCTGCAGGCTGTGCTTGTTAGCAAAGATTTTGGGAAGCGTCAATGGAGGCAGAACAGTGACTAGATGCTTTGGAATACACTGAAGGTGGTGGTAAGGGGGGAATTAATGTTTTTGTGTATGAGGCATAAGGCTGTTCAGGTGTCTGGAAAGATCTGATGTTCAAGTGTCCAGGAGAATGATGCTCAAAGAGGTAGAGTTCCATTGAGTGGCTACTGTTGTCTTCACACTAAGCAGGCTGTACAACAATTCAGGGTGTTGAACAGCGTTCAACAGTTAATGTTGAATCTCAGGCTCACATTTTGTCCTTGGACACCCAGCATTTCTCCTGAGCCTCCTGCTTCTCTCTGCCAGGAGTCTCTCTGTGCTTCAGGCTGTGGTGAAGGGGATGCTGTTCTCAGATCTTTTGTCTCCAGCTGAAGCAGCATAAGCATGGATGCTCTCTGCTGTGATATCATGCAGGTCCATCTATACTCTGCTGTGTTGGGAGTTCAGTCTCATTCTAGTTAATGCTCTCAATCTTCTTACTGGCATTAGAATTCTCACACAGTTAAATTAATGTAATAGTTGATTCATCTCTCAGTTCTGGTTTCTGCCTTCCTACATACTAGGCAGGCAGACAAAGCTGCCCCCATGAACTGGGCTTTACAGAAGGTCCCATACCAGTCCCGCTGGGATAGCTGAGCACAGAGGCCAGCTAGGAGTTGGGGCCATTCATGTGTTCAGGGTGTTCTCATCTGCTGTAGGGTAAGCTGGCGGTGCATCCCTGTCCTCCTTACGCCCTCGCCTGGGGTTCCAGCAGCATTGTGGCTGCAGGCTGTGACAAGAAGATTGTTGCTTATGGGAAGGAAGGCAGTGTGATTCAAACCTTTGACTACAGCCGGGACTCATCAGAGAAGGAATTCACCACAGCAACCACCAGTCCCAGTGGCCAGTCCATTGTTATTGGCAGCTATGACAGGTACCCTGTACCTGATGGAGAATTCTCCTCTTTATAGTCCTTCCTTTGTCAGCCATACACAATTTTTAATGTCTCTCTTATCTCCTCTCTATCGCAGGTTACGGGTTCTGAACTGGAGTCCACGCCGCAGTGCCTGGGAGGAAGGCAAGCCCAAAGAAATAGCTCACCTGTACACCATCACAGCTTTGGCATGGAAGAGGGACGGCTCACGGATCTGTGCGGTTTGTATCATCAGTCAGGAGTCCCACACCAGGGGGATGTTTGTGCCTGGGAGCAAAGTGGTGTGCTCAAGGGAGGGCTTTGAACATGGTCATATGGATGTGGTCACACGGTCACCCAGGGGTGCAGTGCAGATGCTGAGGCCAAGACCTTATTGCTAGGGAGCTGCTGCATTTGGGTGTGTGAGTGTGAAGCTGTAAAACCTTGTGACTGTTGGTATGATGGCTCACTGGTTGCAGCAGCCCTTTTCTCTCAGCAGCATGCTGAGGGCAGCATAGCTTGTCCAGAGCAGTCTCTGGAGCATTCTTTCCTCTGGGCACCTGTGAGAAGTAGTATACAAACTGATCTGCTAATTACACTCTGTGTTTCTGTGCTGTGTTTTCAGTTCAGCATTCTCTTTTTTCTTCCTTCAGCTATCAATCCTTCATCTTCCTTTCTCTGAAGTCAAATAATTCTTTAAATCTCTTTAAACTGATCTTTCTGCATATTTTCTGTAGTAAGTTGGCTAACTCAAAATACTTAAATTATTTATGAAACATGTTATTTACAATTTTTATTTAATAGTTTTTATATATTTTTGTGTTAAGCAATCAAGAATCTTTGAAATTTTTTCAGACCAAAAATTATTGAACATGTGAATAAATATTTTCAGAGAAGGGGCTAAGGGGTAGGAGATCGGTGGAAAGAATGGGTGTATTGTAAAGAAAGAAAAAAAGGTGAAAGGATTCTTCTGGAAAGGAGGAGAGAATAGGAGGCTGGGAGAATAAGAAGTGGGAAACTGAGAAGAATAATGGGAAAGATGAGGATAAAGTTGGTTTTTAACCCCACCTCCTTCTGCCCCAGATTCATGCCAGCATTTGGTAATCTTCATTTTTCTGAGAATGGCTCAATCTTTCTGTTGTCTAAAGAAAGTCAAAAAAGGGCTGGTCCTCCTGCATGTGGGTGCTTGAGCCTTGTTTTCCAGAACAGCTGGGACTGGTGTGTTTGGTTCTCACCGCTGATCCTCTTAATGTAAGCAGGGTCTGGAATATCTCTCCTTGACAGAGTTCACTGACCACATGATGTGGTTTTATCCTCAGGGCACGCTGTGCGGAGGAGTTGAGCAGTTTGACTGCTGCCTTCGCAGAACCATTTACAAAAATAAATTTGAAATTACATATGTGGGACCAAGCCAGGTAAGAGAATATCTAATGAGGTATGAAATTCCTGATGAAAATGAAATGTTTGCCAGAGCTAGATGCGTTTGGAGTTCTGCACCTATGGTTTGTTCATACCAACTTGTTGAGGAAGACGGAGGGGATATGCCAGGGACAGGGCTAAGGTTGGGTGGGAATTGGCTAGGATGAAAGACATGGAGTTCATTTCCTACCTTGTGAATTTCTGTAAGGTACCTTCATGTCAAGTGCAGACTTCTGAAGTGATATAATTTCAGCCAAATTTACCTTGTTCACAATGTGGCAGTAAGGGTGAGCTGGCAGCCTGGGCACTCCTGAACAGTCAAGGGAGAGAGTACAGGACTCTTCAAAGGGGGCTTATCCTTGGGGGCCTGAGTGGGTCTCCAGTTACGCTAGTAACCTGTAAATGACAAAAGTATCTACTACAACTGTCGTGCCATGCAAAAGGAATAGTAAGGTTTTTAAAGAAAGCAGAGGGAAATGATGTGAGGAGATATCTAAACATCCTAGTATCATCTATTGCCTAATCTTCTACAGGGCAAGAAGTCTGCGCTGTTCCTCTGTGCCAGGCATCGTGTTGCTTTTTCTCACTTTCTCTAGGTCATTGTGAAGAGCCTCTCAACAGGAACTCGAGTTGTGTTGAAATCCCAGTATGGTTACGAGATTGATGAGGTGAAGATCTTAGGGAAGGACCGGTACCTGGTGGCCCATACCTCAGATACATTACTGCTGGGTGACATCAGCTCCAACAAGCTCAGTGAGGTACTGGAAAACCGCTGTCATTTCTGGAGTGTCAAATGCTTAACTTCAGAACCCAGAGGGTATGATTTTTGCATGTGAACAATACCTCTATTTTCAAAGAATCATAGAATAATTCAAGTTGGAAGGGGACTTGGGAAGTCTCTTATCAAACTTACTGCCCAAAGATAAATATTAAATTCAGATGTTGTTGCTCAGGTCCCACAATTTCTCTAGTTCTCTGTTCCAATGCTTTGCTGTACTCATGGAGGAAAGCCTTTATCCAAGTCTTCTTGGTATTTTGACTACGGTTTTATGACCACTTTTCATCCTTTCATTTGGCTTCTGCCAAGAAAAGCCTGGCCTCACTGTATTAGAGGTTTCCTAAGCCTTCCCTTCTCCAGACTGAAGAAGCCAAATTCCTTCAGCCTCTCTTCACAGTGTAAACGCTTTACTCCCAACCATCTTGATGGCAGTGTGCTGAACTTGCTACAATTTATCAGTCTTTCTTTTACTTGGGGGCCCAAATCTGGATGTTTTACATATATGCATTCCAGGTGTGAATGTATAAATCTTAGTGTGTTTAAAAGAACCAAAATAAAAAATTGTCATAAGACAATTCATGACTGCATCCTACAGCTTATGCCAGTGCCATTTCTGGTACCAGACAATTCACACAAAACTGTCCATCTCCTGAGCCTCACAGTGCGCTGAGTGCTGAGCCCATGTGCTGAGCCTGGAGAATGTAGGAAATAGACTGATATCTAATAAAAGCATTAAATAGGCTCAAGGACATGGACATATTTGCATTGTTCACAAAGGTGTCACATACCTTTAATCAGACTGATGGTGAGCTAATCAGTCTCTCTTGGAGCAGGAACTCTGTCTGGAGATTTACACTGGAGAATGCTGATAACTTGGTAATATAACTGAGAATCTGGCCAGAATGAAGCTCCCAAGTTTCTCTACTTCTTACTGCACAGAGCTTTTCTTTCAATTGCACAGCTATACTCACTTCTCAGAAAGAACAAGGCTGTGAGATGTCCATTTTCTCTCTTGCTGTCTCACTGGAGTTCCTTTGAAGCAGGAAGTTGGAGTTTATACTCTGTAAGGAAAGAGGCCTGCTGTAGCCTCGGATTTCAGTTTTCTGCTTCTCTGGCCACTTGTCTGTTGTTACCACAGTAACATCAGTGTATTCAGCACACAGAGATCCAGTGCTCTACTCAAATTCCCAATCAGTTGTTCCCCCTCTGGCACTATGCTGATCATCCATTGCTAGTATGACTCTAAAAAACCAAAGGGTTTCAGCTACATGTGGTGAGGTCACTGCTCTGGTCACCACTGGTAGCAGTGATTCTGTGGCTATGATTAATAGAGGCAAAGGAGCTGTTTGGGTGCTTTTTGTGGTAGAGCTGGTCTGGGGAAGGTGGAGAAGGGCCTGTGAAGGATAGGATAGAGGGAGTACCTTGGTCATTTGAAGGCCTCTTGTTCAGAAGTCACTAATATACTATACAAAGAAAGCTGGAATCTGAAGCTGAGTCTAAAGAAAGGAGAGGAACGTGTGGAATTTGCAAGCTGGGAATGACTGAAAAACAGTGTTGGCAGCTAAAGTGATGGAACACAGTCCCTTGTGCAGTGTAAGTCTTGCTGTCTGTTGTGGGAGCCAAAAGCTGGACAGTGGACCCCATCATCTGCAGACTGGTCCTGGTGGAGCTGTCAGCCTGTCAGCCTCACACCGTGCCATTGTTTTGCAGGTGGCCTGGCAAGGATCTGGGGGGAATGAGAAGTTCTTCTTTGAGAACGAGAATGTAAGTAGGATGGAACAGAATGCTCCCCATGAATGGTGTGTAAAGCTGTGTGTTCACAAGCAAGAAAAGTGTCACCCACGTTTCTGGAAAACCCTGTTTCTTAGCAGTTTCCTGGATTTAGCCTCTTCATGCAGATTCCAGTCTGCTTCTTCCTTGTACTTGCCTTTTCTGCGTGCCAGGTACAGAACAAACACAGTGTGGACTGACAAGTCACATAAGTCATAACCCTGAGGGAGAGAAAAGCAATAAAAGAACAATGGCCAGAGCAGGTGTTAGAGATACAGAATACAGCTGTCATGGGGACAGCGTGACTTCTGTGGGAATGATACACCCACAATTAAAATCCCAAGCCTTGAGGAAAAGCTGTCAGTCACAACAAGAAGACAAGAACAGCTTCTTAATCATTCCAGAGTATTTAAATTTAGATTTGTGTGCAGCAGAGCTCTTTCCTGTACCCCTCACTGGCAGGAGTGAGTGTTTCTGTCGCTTTACTCTGAAAGTGTATTCCCCTCTCACCATCAGGTCTGCATGATTTTTAATGCTGGAGAGCTGACACTAGTGGAATATGGAAGCAATGACATTCTGGGGTCTGTCCGCACAGAGTTTATGAACCCTCATCTGGTCAGGTAATGGTTGCATCTGCCTGTATAACCAGCTCAGGCATTTAGTAAAGTGAACTCAGATATATAACTCTGCAAGTGTCCCACACTGTAGAATGCAGCCCCCAGACACCCACTTCTCACAGTGACCAGTGATGGCTTTTGTTGCCGCATTACTGGCTTTACAAGTTTTAGAAGCACAAGAGCCTCTTTTCCTCTGATCTTGGTGCAGCCTGCCATGGCTGTTGCTGAAGAGGGACCTCCTGTGCACGTTCTCAGGCAACTCTGCATCCTGCTGGTCCTGGTACAGAGTTGTTAGGGACTCAGTTGCCAGAAGGACCTCCTCTGTCCCTCTAAAATTCTATACCCCATATTCTAATTCAGGAGAAGGGGGGATCATGGTCTGCTCAGAGCAGCGTAAGTAATGTGTTATTGGGGTCCCCTCCTCCAGAAGGGGGAGCTTCTGGGGGGGAAGCCATGGATCAGGAAGGTTTGTTCTCACTTGAGACACTGAGGAACTGAGGAAGTGTCACAGGTCAGAGAACTGCCAGAGGCTCCATGTGCTCAGGGAAGCTGCAGGGAAGTCGGGGAGGGACTATGTGATTCAAATACGAATTTTGAAAGTAGTGAAGGTAATAGTCATTCCCTTCAAATCACAGTGTCCGTATCAATGAAAGACAGCAACGAGGCGTGGATGAGAACAAGAGACTGGCTTATCTGATAGACATCAAGACTATAGCAACAGGTGACTGTAACCCTCCTTTCCCTTCCCTGTATTTTGCCAGCCTTCCTTATTCCTTTTCATTTTTTTGTGCCAGGCAGCACATCCCTGAAAGGTCCTCTGTGCATTCCCTCCACCAAGCAGCAGATTCTTGAAGTTTCCCTTTGCATTCCCTCTGCCTAGCAGCAGTCCACTGGACACCAGGCTGTCCTACTTTTGACAGGATAAGCCTGTCATGCACACAGCAATGGGTGTCTGTGTGTCCTGGACCCAGACTCTGTGTTGCCTGCATTGCCTATGAGCTGTGTATGCTCACAGACAGCTGCTGCTGAGAAGTCATCAAAATAAAATGTCACTGCTGTTTGGTGTTCATGTCACAATGTCTTTGCTGAGGGTATTGCCCTAAATAGATCCCAGGCACCTGATTCCCCTGGCACAGCTTTGAATGTTGAGCACTTTGAGGTACATCAGCTACTTACACTGTTTTCTTTCTTTCCTCCTCAAGTGGACCTTGTTGGTGGCTATAATGCTGGCACAATCAGTCATGACAGCAAGATTGATTGGCTGGAGCTGAATGAAACAGGCCACAAACTGCTCTTCAGGGACAAGAAGATGAGGGTGAGTGGGGCACCCCAGGCCATGTGGCAGGGTGGTGTGTGTGAGGAGAGGTAGAGACAGACATGCTTGAATGGAGGGAGGGAGGTGAGAAACACACCTGAAATACTCCTGATTTTTTGCTTACTGCTCCTTTGAGGAAGATTGACGATTACCAGATTGCATGAGCTGGCAGTGTTGCATTCTTGAGTCACAGCTAATGTTGAACGTAGTTACTAGACATCTTGCTTCATCTCATCTCACCTGAAAATGGAGATCATAGGTTCTTCTGTGGTACATATGTCCATGGTGTTCAAAAAGTCATGGCAGTCAGGTGAAGCCCCAGTGACTATAAAAAGGAAAACATCATACCCATCTTTAAAAGAGTAGGAAGGAGGACCCAGGACTACTGACCTGGTAGCCTCACCTCTGGGGCTTGGAAGATCCTGGAACAGATCCCGCTCCAAGCAGTGCTAAGGCAGATGGGGAATGGGAAGGTGATGGAGGACAACCAGGTGAGGTAGTTTGGGACAGCCAGCGTGGCTTCACCACCAGTGAGTCTTGCCTGACCAACCTAATGGTCTTCTCTGATGGAGAGACTCCATCAGTGAACAAGGGAAGGGCTATGGATGTCATCTATCTAGATGTCTGTAAAGCCTTTCTCACAGTCTCCCACAACAGCCTTCTCTCTGAACTGGAGAGAGATGGATTTGATGGTGGACTGTTTGCTGGATGAGGGCTTGGCTGAACATTCACACCCAGAGGGAAGTGGTCAACAGCTCAGAGTCCCAGCGGACATCAGTGACAAGTAGTCCTCCTCAGGGGTCTGTCTTGGGACAGTGTTATTTTATATCTTCATTAACAGTACAGATGAAGGGATAGAGTACACCCTCAGCAAGCTTGCACATGACACCAAGCTGAGGGTAGAATGGCACACCTGAAGGACAGAGCCATCCAGAGAAACCTGAACAAGCTCCAGAGCTGTGCCCATGGGGATCTCATGAGATGTAACAAGGCCACGCATAAGTTGTGCTGAACCAATCGCACAGTGAGGGCAGCAGGGGAGGGTGGGTTCTGTTCCTCTGCCCTGTTTAGGTGAGACCTCATCTGCTGTGCTGCTTCCAGCTGTAGGGTCTCAGCACAGGACAGATGTGGAGCTGCTGAAGCAAGTCCTGAGGAGGCCACAGAGATGGTCAGAAGCCTAGAACACCTCCTTTATGAGGAAAGGCTGAATGAGTTGGAATTGTTTATCCAGGAGAAGAGAAGGCTCTAGGGAGACCTAAGAGCCCTTTCCAGTGCCTAAAGGTTCTGCAAAAGAGCTGTAGAGGGGCTTTGGACAAGAGCCTGGAGTGAGAGGATAAGGGGGAATGGCTTCCCACTGCAAGAGGGCAGGGTGAGATGGGATATTGGTGAGAAATTCTTCCCTGTGAGGGTGCCGAGGCCCTGGCACAGGTTGCCCAGAGAAGCTGTAGCCTGCCTCATCCCTGGAAGTGTTCAAGGCCAGGTTGGACAGGGCTTGGAGCAACATGGGCTAGTGGAAGGTCTCCTTGCCTATGGCATGGGGTTGGAACAAGATGATTCTTAAGGTTCCAAATCCAGACCATTCTGTGATTCTATGATTTCTCCAGCCATTTTGGTACAGATTGAAACAGGGACCTTCTTATTCTCTTTTGATAGGTGTGTCATGAGACTAGCACAGTTCTCTCTTCTTTTTCTCATCTTTTCTAGGTCAGGACAAGGAGTAGGGACAGTCTGGGACTTTGCAGTCACAAGATATCATATAACACCTTCCAAATTGTTATGTTTGGTTTTGGGCAGTGTGTTGTACAAACAACTGATCTCTCACCTTATTGCTAGTAGTCATTGCAATAGGACTATGCCTGGGGTGGAGAGTTCAGCCCAAAATTGCAGAGTAAGGACCTTCTTGGTCCTGTAGTTTTTTTTTCATTCAGGACTTTAGAGACCATTTTCCTGTTCCAGCTCTGCAGCTGAGAGGGAACTGAAGCAGCACGAGGCATATTCTGATTTATATATGTCTGTGCCAAGCTTTAAGGGAGGCAAGAGTGTGTGGCTTAAAATGCTGCAAGGGTTTAAAAAGGTCTTCTAGCAATGTGTAAATAAGTAAGAGATTTTAGGATGTGTGTCTTGCAAAAAGTCTGTTTCCTGATGGGTAATGTCTGTTTACAAGATGCCTGTTCAGATGTTCCTGCAATGTTTGTGTGAGCTAGCAGCCCAGCCACAAGTCCAGCTGAGCCTGTTCTCCCCTCCCACCTCCAGCTGCAGCTCTATGACATTGAAAGCAGCACCAAGACAACCATTCTGAACTATTGCTCCTACGTGCAGTGGGTCCCAGGCAGCGATGTGGTGGTTGCTCAGAACAGGAACAGTCTCTGCATTTGGTACAACATCGATGCTCCAGAGCGAGTCACCATGTTTCCTCTGAAGGTAAAACTCTGCAGACTTTGATTGCCTCCTGCAGTTTGTTTTTCTTCTTCCTCATGTGTGTGGGAGTAGCAGTGGTGGTATGGCAGAAGGGAGACAGAAAGGAACTGTTAGTTTCTTTTGAACAAAATATGAGCTCATTTGTCAACTTTGTGGCAGACATATCTGGCAGAAGATGGAGCAAGGAGCTGCTTCATGGCTCAGTCTGCTCAGTGCAAGCTCATTCAGAAGAACCGTGTCTGACAGAGCTGTTGCAGTGGTCAGGGGTGTGCCCTCATCCCTGAAACCCCACATACTTCAGATGAGCAGGGAGTATTGACAGCAGGTACTCTTTCTAGGGGGATATCGTAAGCTTGGAAAGGAATGATGGAAAGACTGAAGTGATAGTGTCTGAAGGGGTGAACACTGTGTCTTACACCCTGGATGAAGGCCTCATAGAGTTTGGAACTGCGGTTGATGATGGGGATTATCACAGGTAAGTGCTGGATACGCCAGTGAGGGTGGCAGGTAGCTCATATCACATGCCAGACACCTGGCAATCAATGACCCATGAACAGCAGCAGCACAGTTTTCCAGAGTTGAACTTCAGACTCTCAGCATAATGTTGGTCTGGTTATAATGAACATCAGAGTCCATCAGGAGAGATTTTTCAGCTTGTGCCTCCTTGCAGCTTTATGTTTTCAAACTCAGGGAGAGACTGACCAGTCTGGTCCCACAGACACCAGCAGGGCGTTGCTTAAGGTAGTTGTCAATTAATTGCAGTGAATAAATGTCTCCAGAGCTGCCAGATGTGAAGTGGTGCATGGATGCTTTCACTGCTGCCCTTCCAGGGATGGTATTAATATTATGGAAACATCCAGCAGCTGGGCAGAGTAAAAGCTGACTTCCTGAAGTGGTCATGGCAGCCACCTGGGTACTGCTGACACTCTTAGAGGCCTTTTAAAAGTGAACAGGGGTGAAAACTTCATGTGTTCATAGCATGGTTGTGTCTTCAGAGACTTCCTTAGCAGGGACTTGTATGAGACAGAACACTTTATATTTGTCCCGCACTGCTACAGCCTTCTGCCGAGCATCTGCCTCTAAGTACCTTAGCCCAGGCAGGAATAACCTAGATCTCTGAATTTTCCCCTACTTTGTCAGGCTCTGTGTTACACTGTCCTCTTCAGAGCTGGGCACACCCAGCTGGCTTTGTTTCCAGTGCTGCTCTGGTTAGGAAGCTCCTGTCTCACATTCTGGGATTTTCCCCAGAGAGCTCTTCTGTCACTAAAATCTGCAAATCTCTCTGTCTCAAGGGCTACTGCATTTTTGGAGACACTGGAAATGTCCACAGAGACTGAAGCCATGTGGAAGACCCTCAGCAGACTGGCTTTGGAAGCGAGACAGCTGCACATTGCAGAGAGGTACATCACATCTTCATGGCTTCAACATGCTCTTTGCTGAGTCCCAGAAACCAGGGTCCAGCTAAAGATGTGGCTCTGTGTATAGTCTGGAATATTGACTGCACTGGAAATTTACATGTTCTCTATGCCAGGCCATGACTTTGTCTTTTCATCCCAGCCGGTAATGCCAGAACCAGGGGTGGGAAGACCTCTCTGTAGCATAAATTTTTGTTGATGGTAACCCAAAGCTGTATATAGCAAGGACTCAGAGAGCTGACAGACATGAACAAGCTTGAGGCATTGTTGAAGCCTGGGGATGCGAAACATGAGCCTTGGTCATGCTCCTGGATTCTCCCATGGAGCAGGGCTGGAGGGCACATCTGAATATAGGTCTTGGCAAAATCCTTCTCTTGAAGTAGGGCTCCCTCACCTCTTGCATTGCTGAGCTGAGCCTGCTGCCCAGTTTCTGATTTTCCTATCTTGGACCAAAAAGTGGGCAACAAAACCTGGTTATTGACTAACTGCTTTGCATTTTCCAGGTGCTTTGCAGCTCTGGGAAACATGGCAAAGGCTCGATTTCTGCATGAAACCAATGTCATTGCTGACCAGGCAGCTCAGGAGCACGTAAGTCAAACTTCTCCTGCTCTGCAGGGCAGCGGTTTTCCTATAAACACTCGCATGTTATCTTCTATATCCTCGCTCACCAGTGCCATGCTCCAGACCAGTACCTCTTCATGTAGAAACTGCTGACATTGTCTTCCATCCACAGTTGCCAGGTCCCTTTCAAGGCTGGCCATTTTATACTTTAAATCAAAGCAGCCATTTTCACTGCTATGATTCTCAACTGTCTTTTGTTTCTGTAATGACCCAGCCTCCACCTGCAGTGCCCTCCATGTTCCACTCTACAGCCTGTTCTTTCCCTCAGCAAACTGAGCTTGCTGCTGTTGTCTGCAGGGTGGGGATGGCACAGATCATTACCTGGTGCGGGCCCGCTTGGCCATGCTAGAGAAGAACTACAAGCTGGCAGAGATGATCTTCCTGGAACAAGTGAGTAAAGGAACAAGGAGTGGAAAAGGTTCTGTTTATTTCTGGGCAGGGAGGTGTGTGCCCTAAGAGGAAAGGAAGATGCTGCTTGTTCCTAGGAGAAGAGTTTTCTCCATGAAGTGAGAAGTGAGTTTTCTCCACTTGTTCTGAGGTGTAGGATTACCCTGAGATGCATGAAGAGTGTGAGGGAGGATGTATGTTCAAGTAACGGAGACAGTTCACTTTTTCAAGTGCACATCTAACCCTGCCTGCTGTGAGAGCTCTGTGGCAATGTGCCTGCTCCTAACCTGGAGCCTTTGGGTTAATGCTTTGCTTTCTGACACAGAACGCCACAGAGGAGGCCATGGACATGTACCAGGAGCTGCATATGTGGGATGAATGCATTGTGGTGGCCAAGGCCAAGGTACAGAATATTGCTGCACTGGGCTATAGGCCTGCTTGGTAAATCTTCTGGCTGGGAGTCCATTCAGGGTCTGTATTCTTTTCACCTGCCCTACCTTGTTTCTGCTTAGAAGGGCTCCAAGTAGAAGGGAAGGTTGCACTGGGTTGCAAGACCTGTATGAATAGAAAAAAGCCACTGAAATTGGTTTAGGAGTATCTGTGGCTTCAGAAAAGAATGGTAGTGCCATGGTACACAGGGCTGGCATTGTAGTTTCTGGTAACTGGACAACAAGAGGCCTGGTGTTATGACCAGGTGTTCAGAGCCTGCAGGATGAGCTGGACAATATCTCATTGTACCCAGGTCAGCCAGTTCTGTGTTTCTCCACAGGGACACCCAATGCTGGAGAAGTTGCGTCGGGGTTACTACCAGTGGCTGCTGGATACCCAGCAGGAAGAGAAGGCTGGGGAGGTCCAAGAGGGACAGGGAGACTACCTGGCAGCCATCAGCTTATATCTGCGGGCAGGGCTGCCAGCCAAAGCAGCACGGCTAGCCATGGACAGGGATGAACTGCTCACCAATGCGGATGTCATCGATAGGATCTCCACGGCATTGATCAGAGGGGAGCTCTATGAACAGGTGAATGGCCCTTCCCATTGGGCTTTCAGCTTAGGGGCATCAGGGTCCTTCCCCATCCTCTGCACCCGTGAGACACAAGGGGGACTGAGCTGGAAGGTAGCAGAAGTAATTCTGTGTTGGTAAGTTTGTAGTTAACACTTACTAGGAAATCCTCACTGTATCCATTGCACATGGGTGAGGTCTAGAATTACTATTATTAATCAGGAAAAAGATCACATCTGATTGGAAACATGTCTCCAGATTGTAGAGTGTCAGTAATAGATAAGGAGGCCCTTAGGAAGATGGGAATCAACAGGAACAGAATCGTGAATCAAACTGAAATCTTGATATCAGTGTGGAAATGTCAGTGCGTCCTCATAACAGAATAAAATATGTCATAAAGATAGTCTAAATGCAAAAGTTAAGGAAGCAAAACAAAGGAATTGAAGGCTGTAGAGCCACAAATATCATAAAGAAAGGATGTGATTATTCTCTGTGTCTAATAACACCAGAAATTGATAACTTATTGTTCGGTGGCAGTTTTAAAACCAAAGGGTGCTTTTTTCCACAGCACATAATCATGTTATTAGAAAGCAGTGCAGAGTCAGTCACTGCTCAGTATCCTGGCCAGCTGTGGTCTCTGGCATGTGCTTAAGAAAGGAAAATAAAGAACAGGGCAGGCAAATACAGGGTTGTGCCTTCCCTTAGTGTGTTTTCATGGGGTCCAGCAGTTTGCAGCCTATAACATACCTGAACAGCTCTACTTTTGTGTTTAAGAGCTCTTGATAGATTTTACTTCCAGGAGCTTATCAAATTATTGCTTGAACCACACGTAGATTTTAAGTTACAATTTTGGCTATGAGTTACCCAGTTCAGTTAGATGTGTGAAAAAAACGCACTGCTTTTTGTTAGCTTGTTTTATTCTCCTTTATAAATTTAGTCTCAGTTTATCTTCAGCATTTTCTGGCCATTTCATTTTGATGCAAGAGAACTTTGTAGTTTTTCAAACCTGTCATCTTTTCTTAAGCTTTCAGTTGAAAGAATAACTGGAGCTCCCAGCTACTGGATGTTGTTACCAAAATTACAAATAGTTCAAAAATGATTGGACAAATCACGGAGGTGTAGAGTCTGTCAAAAGCCATTAAATATGATGATGTGAGGAGGGCATCACGACAAACTCAGGCAGCTTCTACTGTGCAGGTTGTCAGAGATGGACAAATAGAGGAAAGGCTGGTATATACTTACTCTGTTACTACAGTTCTTCTCTAGATGTGTGGTCTTGCCACCATTCAGTGCTGAAGGGAATGAGCCCTTGGTCTGCCTGGGTGGCTGTGCTGGGGTCAATCAGCAGGGAGGACAATTGTCTTGGCACATGCTGTCTTTCCTAGAAGTTCCTTAATCCCCGTAGACTTGGTTAGTTGGGAAGGCAGAGCTGGTGCAGGAGTGTGCATAGAACTGGTAGGGCATGATGTGGGGGGATGGTGACTCTGGAAACTGGCAGCTTGTATCTGTCATTAGGCTGGAGACCTGTTGGAGAAGCTTGGGAACCCACGGAAGGCTCTGGAGTGCTATGGCAAGGGCAGTGCCTTCCTGAAAGGTACTGTGCTTGATATGTTCCTCCCCTTCACCTCCAGCAGGAGCCTGGGTACTCTGGCCTGGTGGCAACATGAAATATTGCCCTGGAGCCTGGAGATGCCTGGATGCTCTGCAGCTTCCACCTATTGTATAATGTTACTTCGATGATGATAAGTGTACTTGCACATGTGGTCCCAGGGTTGCCAAGCCCTTCGCCATGCCGACTGCACCAGCATGGGTTTAACCCAGCTCTCCACGGGGTTACTCCGTGTAACCCACAGGAGCTGGAGTGGCTTGGACAGTCACCATTGCCCTCCTTCTGTGCCAGATCCAAGGCCCATGTTTGCCCCACAGTTCTGCTTCCCTACTGCCCTCAGCATGACAACTCTTCTCTCCCCTTACAGCCGTGGAGCTGGCTCGCCTGGCGTTTCCTGCAGAAGTTGTGAAGCTGGAGGAGGCCTGGGGAGACCATCTGGTGCAGCAGAAACAGCTGGATGCTGCTATTAACCATTACATCGAAGCCAGGTGGGAGCAGTGGAAGGCTGTATAAGCAGCAGGATACTGGCAGGGCGTAAAGTTGATACCTTTGCCTTTATCAGCAGGGGGCTTGCCTGAGTGAACCCCCACCACCCTGCTTAGCAGTGCCCTTCTTGCTTGTGTGCACCAGCCACTGATGCCTTCCCACATCTCTCCCAAGGTCTTAGAGTGCTGATTGCTCTTCCCTGCTGTCCCAGTTCTTTCATCCCCCTTAGCACTGCCAGTTACTCAGCTGCTTTATGCTGCTCTAACTCAGGGAGCTGAAACAAGCAGCAGAGTGCTCTAGTCTCCCTGTCATAGCGTAGCTAGAGGAGATGCCTGCTGCGTGGCTCTAAAGACTGATGGATTTGGTGCCAGGTGCTCAATTAAGGCCATTGAGGCAGCTTTGGGAGCCCGGCAGTGGAAGAAGGCCATCTACATTTTGGACTTGCAGGACAAACAGACAGCAGCCAAATATTACCTCAAGATTGCCCAGCATTATGCAGCTTTACAGGAGTACCAGGTGAGGCCACAGACCACAATCACCACTGCTCTGTGTGTCCGTTGGATATATTGAGTGTGGTCTTTTCCTGGCAGGTTGCAGAGGAGCTGTACATTAAAGGAGGCCAGACCAAGGATGCCATTGACATGTACACACAGGCTGGGCTCTGGGAACAGGCTCACAAGGTAAAGTCAGAAGCCAGAGCTTCTGTGAACCTCACCCTGCTTGGTGAGATGTGTTTTCCATCAGGAGGTGGTAGTGCCTTGTGCACCAGTACCTGGTCAACCAGTACTCTTCCCAAATACACTTGCAGGGACATCCAGTAGCCAGCAACAAATCCATTCCCAATAGTCCCATCCTGACCGTGGCCTTCTCTCTGTCACAGCCCCATGTGGGTGTACCTCTGGCACAAATGGCCCTCTCCCAAGAGCTGGTCCTGTGTGCTTTCTGACAGTGACTGCCCATTCTTTGCAGAGCATGTAGCATAGATACCTGCTTGTCAGATGAGAAGGAAATATGTTTTCCCTTTCTCCTTCACTCTCGTGTCAGGAAGTTGCTGTCCATTTCTCCCCTGTGTGTTCCTTTTGGCAGCTGGCACTCAAGTGTATGAGCCAGGAGGACGTGACTGTGCTGTACATAACCCAGGCCAAGGAGATGGAGAGACAGGGCAAGTACAAAGAAGCAGAGAGGTGAGTTTCTTCCAGTACTGGTATCAGCCCTGAAAACTTGGCTGTAGTGAGGAGAAGCCCTTTCCTGGGTTAGAAGGGGAATTTGGGACTGGGTTTGGAATGGTCAGAGGAACTTTCTCCACACATGGAGAGCTAAAGCTGATATTTCAGGATGCAGAAAGATTTCAGGGACTGGTTTTGTCCTTGGCTGAGCCGTTCGGATGTGCTTGTGTTCCCAGGCTGTACATCACTGTGAATGAACCCGATTTGGCCATCACCATGTACAAGAAGTGTAAGATGTATGATGAGATGGTTTGCCTAGTAGCCAAGTACCACAAGGACTTACTTGGAGATACTCACCTGCACCTGGGCAAGGTGAGTGCATCTCATGGCAGGGGATCAGCTAGGCCAAGCAGGGGCAAGATTGTTGTTATGAATGAGTGTTTGAGATGGCTTAAAAAATCAGTGGCAGGGGCATGAGAAAAAGTCAGGTTTAATATTAAGCATCAAAGCACAACAAGTTTGTTGTCAAGATTCACTCTACTTACAGGACAGCTAAGGCACAACAAGGGAAAACAGGCAAAACAAAACCAAACAAAATCGAGACAATCAAAACAAATTAAATGAGAACTATCTCCAGGGGTGTGTGTGTGTGTGTGCATGACAAAAGACAATATGGGAAAGGATAAAAAAGAACACAGCCTAAAAGCTTAACAGTGTTCAAACATAGGAGTTCTTTAACTTAACTTATACCTTTAGCCTAACAATTTAACATAGGAAAACATTTAACTTACACCTAACTTAATTTATAGCTTAACCTTAACCATCTAACAGAGGAATAGCACTTAACAGCATTTAGCCTAACTTATAACTTCAGAGTTACATTTAGCAACTCAGCAGAAGAGTAACACTTAGCAACACTTAGCTTATAACTTAGTTTAATAACTTAGCAAAAGAACAACACTTAGCATTTAGGTAAGTTTATAACTATAACTTAACCTTACTTAGAGGCCAAACTTAGATTTCCAAGATACTTTAACATCTAAGAAAGCTGCATTTCTCTCAGATTTGCTATAGCATATGTGCATCTTCATGCGTTCAGACAGAAAGAGTCAGTGCCTACAAGGTACCTGTGAAAAATTCCCCCCAGAGGTCAGTGAAATCCTCACTTTGGAGGCCTTTGTATCTCCCAGAGGGCGAAGGATTGGGCCTCGAGGAGTGAGGGTGTCAGCCCAGGACATGTGGTGTTTTGGTGATCCTCCAGGTATAGCAAACCTGAGGATTTGCTGGCTCTGAGAGGTGTCCTGCCCCCTGCCCAGACAGAGATTGCTGGTTGCAGCCCACTGTGGTCCCAGGAGAGCTCAGAAGGGTCTCATTTTGGACTGCTGTTTGTTGGGTCAGAAGAGAGTGGGCTTCAGTAATAACAATGTTTCATCCTGGCCAGAGTTTGGGTTGGCATTTTCTTTGAAAGTGGGAGAACAGGAATGTTACGCCATTCAGGTAATAAGAATATTTTCCAAGGCTGGTCATAAGGAAAACAGAAGCACATTAGACAGCATCAGTTTCTGGGAGCAAGACAGTGTTTGTGATAAGCTCAGGAATAGCTGAGCCCAGGTGGTGTTTTCAAGGCCAAGGCCTAACATTTCTCAGATCACCCTACAGCCTGGAAAGGAGATGGGGGGAATGCACCACCACAAGTGGCACTATCTCATGGCCTCTGACTGCAGGAGCTGGAGGCAGAGGGACGCTTGCAGGAGGCTGAGTACCACTACCTGGAAGCCAAAGACTGGAAGAGCACAGTGAACATGTACCGAGTGAATGACATGTGGGAAGAAGCATACAGGGTAATAATCATTCACAGCCTCCCACCTCTGCAGGGGTCAGGTTCTGGTTGTGGGATTCTGGTGGGAACTGCTTTGTTCACTGCAAGTTCAGAACATTTGGTGTACACTACCCAGCCTCAGAACTGCCCCAGCCCTGGAAGCCTATGGGCCTCTCAGTCTGCAGCATTGCACTCCAAAAGCAGGGTTTGACCTTTCTGCTGTGCTGCCTTCCTCCAGGTACTGCTCTGCCCCTGATCACTGCATCCTGTTGTACCTCAGAGGTGTTGCTCTGGCCACAGCCCCCCCCAGCACTGCTCTCCTCAGTGTGGCCATGGAATGCCTCAGTGCTCTTCAGTGTTGCCTTGGAATGCTGGGGTGACTTCTGTCCGAAGAGTGGTGTGGGCTGTGCTGAGGCAGCAGCTGTTCTGTTGCACCATCCATGTCTTTATCTTACTCTCCCACTCACCAGTACAGTGGTTGTCACAGAAGGGTTTGTTGAGAGGGAACAGATGGTTTTGGTGCTCCCTCGTGCTGGCAGGCAACACATGAGAGGGGCTAAATCTTCTGAAGGTGAAACAGATACATTGGGTTCATCCACTTCCTTTCCTTTGGACAGGTCGCCAAGGCACATGGGGGTGCAAACTCCCATAAGCACGTGGCCTATCTGTGGGCCAAGAGCCTGGGTGGAGAGGCAGCTGTGAAACTCCTCAGCAAATTTGGTCTCCTGGAGATGGCCATTGACCACGCAACAGACAGTGGGTACGCAGGTGCCTCCACCCAATGCTTCCCTCCCCTCTGCCTGATGAGGGAAAAATGTATGGGTCAAGATAGCTGTGTGCATATGGTAGCTGCAGGTCCAGAAAATGACATGTCTTCCCACCCCACCGTGCTTCACACAGGCCTTCCATGTGCTTGACACATCCCACTTCTCATCTTTGCGTCAGTCTCTCAAATGCCAAGTCTGAACTGGGTAGGCAAATGCAGTTTGTCTCTTAACCTATGCAGTGGAAGGCTTGTGAGAGACTCTGGGCATGAGAGGAGGTACTTCTCTTGTCACCAGAAGTAACTGCCTGCCACAAAAGCTTTGGCCCTGCTCTGCAGCTGGCCAAGTGTCTGCCTGTATGGCCAGTCATTACTGCTCTTCCCGAGGCTCCCACATCTCTTGGGCTCTAAAAGCAGGTGTGAAGAATCCAAATTTCCATAGTGGGGACTCTAAAAGCTCCTGGTCAGGAACAGAAGGAACGGGCCATGCTAATTCACTTGGGACTCCCTGTATTCCCCTCTCTCTTCTCCCAGTGTCTCGTGCTTTACTCAATGTCTTTCCTTGATGAAGGCATACTCACAGCACAGAGTCCTTCTCTCTTTCATTGCAGGGTCTTTGAGTTTGCTTTTGAACTGGCCCGCCTTTCCATGAAGCAAAAGATGCCAGACATCCACTTAAAGTATGCCATGTTCCTAGAAGATGAGGTAATTTTCCCCCTGGAACTGGTGAAAGTTCTCTAGTCTCTCAGGTAACTGAGCAGTTGTCCCTGGGCTGCTGCAGCAGTCACAGTTCTGGCTGCAGTCACTGCACGTCCAAAGGGCTCCCTGTGGCAGCACCATGCTCCACACTCCTTTGTGTCATAAATCCTCCCTGCCTTGCGGTCAGTAGGGGAGGTCATGTGGTGATACCAGAACAGGAAGGTGTGCAAACAAACCACTTCTTCTCCTCTAGGGCAAATTTGAAGAGGCTGAAGGAGAATTCATTAAAGCTGGGAAGCCCAAGGAAGCTGTGCTGATGTATGTGTCCTCCATATCCTGGCCTGCTGCATCTGCTCTCTCCATGCAATGCCGGCCTGGTTGCCTCTCCAGCACTGGGCTGCTCCTTCTCATCCTTGTTAAATCTCATGTTCTGGTAACATCTCATCCTCCCAGGTTTGTGCATAACCAGAACTGGGATGCTGCGCAGCGTGTGGCTGAGGCTCATGACCCAGACAGCGTGGCTGATGTGCTTGTTGGACAGGCACAGTTTGCCTTTGAGCAGAGAGAGTTCCAGAAGGCAGAGGCCTTTCTCCTCCGAGCACAGAGACCTGAGCTGGCCATAAAGTACTACAAGGTGAGTGCAGTCTGCAGCAATGTCATTGCCTTCCTCACTGGACAAGAACCTTATTTAGATGAAGAAGTGAAATTCACCTCCCAGCTCCCCCTGTCAGCTTAGTAGCCAAAGAGAAACCATTTACTCAGGGTTTCTAGAGGAACTTAATTCTGACCTGAAGACTGAACCACTGGATTTCACATCATAGCTTCAGGCTCTCACAGTTTGAGATGATGTATCCTGTCAGAATAGGGGTGGTCCTTGGTGTAGCACAAGTGGGTGCATTTGGAGGCTTAAGTGCCCGTTCCAGTGAGGTAGCTGGAATGGATGAGCGTGTTCCTCTGAGGTAGGTAGGGGAAGTGGATAGACATAGGTGCCATTTTGGGGGAGGAAAGAACTGGGTGGTGCTGCTGTGGTTGTTTCTTCTAGTCGGTTCTCTGGCAAGATGGCATGAGGGGGTAGATGTGTTATGTGATGGCAGGAGTGTGGGGAATCCTGGTGAACTGGTGAAAACTTCTCCCCATTGTGCCTGTGCAGGAGGCCGGCATGTGGAGCGACGCCCTGCGGATCTGCAAGGAGTACATGCCTAGTCGACTGGGAGAGCTACAGGAGGAGTGTGGCAGAGAGGTTGGCAAGAAGGGCTCCAGGTAAGGAGTGCTGTGGTCAGGCTGCAGGAAATAGCCTGGAAGCTCTTCCCCATGGCCATTTTGCTGATGCCTTTACAGAGACAGCCTGATGGGATCCCTGACATCCACTTGTTTCCTTCTTGAGGACTCTGGACTTCTTACTGCATAGGTTTCCTATCATCCTTTCTTATTGCTTTGGGAGGCTTATTTCCGCCATCCAAGGTCTCCTAGATGGCATTTTGCCACACTTACAAATCTCCATGGTGTCCTGTACTGCCATTGCATCTCCCCAGGGTCTTTGGTCAGTTCTCTCCTCAGGACTGTTTCATGTTCTCTGTCACATGCCCCACTCTGTCTGAGGTCCCTGCTTACCTGTAGTGTGCACCTCCCTGCCCACACCCTACACACTGCCTACAGGATCTCTGGCTGCATCCCTGTCCTGCTCACAGCCTGCATTCCTCCCTGCAGCGGAACTGAAGGGCTGCTGGAGCAGGCACGGGAATGGGAGCAGGCTGGGGAATACGCCAGGGCAGTGGACTGCTACCTGAAGGTGCGGGATCCCAGCAACAGCACCCTGGTGGAGAAGTGCTTACTGAAGGTACCATCAGGGGCTATGATTCCCTTCACCTTCCCTTCTTCTGCCTGGAAACTCTTCCACAAGCTGAGTGCACCTCTGAGATCCCTGTCACTGCAGGGCACAGGAGAGCCTGCAGGCTGCAGTGACTGCAGGGCTGAAAGCCTTCATAGCTCTTCTCTTGAGCCATGATGGGCTGTGCTTATCCTGCATGGTGCTGCCCCCCTTGCTCTGGCACCACTGCCTGTGGCAGGCCCATGCCTGTGTGCCCACAGCTCCCTGCACTGAAGAGCTGCACTTTATGACTCAGCCCTTGCTAGAGGGGCACCGTGTGCTCTGTGCCACCAGCCTTTGCACTGTGTTCTCGCTCAAACTTCCCACACCCAGTCCTTGTGACAACGTCTCCCTCAGCCCTTGTCCCTGTGTCCAACTTCATCAACAATTCTGTCCTTGTCTGATCTCCTGTGCGTGAAAGTAGCTGGGCTTTGCTCCTCTGACTTGTCAAAACAACCTGCCATTTCTCCCCTTCCTCCATCACTCAGGTGCTTCCAGCTGTCAGTCTTTTATCTGGGACTGAGCACTTCCCAGCTTTATCCTACTCTCCCACCATTTTTATCAACTGAGCTGCTGACAATTTCTCTACACAGGCTGCTGAGTTGGCTGTGAAATTCCTGGATCAGTCACAGAGCATGGAAGTGACACGGACTGTGGCTCCTCAGCTGGTGGCCATGAAGAAATACAGCACGGTGAGGACTGGCTCCTGCCCCCAGACTGCTGAAGAAGCAGTGACATTGGAATGGAGAGCTCTGTCCAGGGGAAGGAGGTCAAGTCACATCCTGGGGTGATGGGTGGATGGATGGCTTTATCTAGAGGTAGACCATGCAGAATCTTCAAGGAGGATGAAAGAGATGAATGAATGAATTAATCAATCAATCAATCAGTTAATCAATGAAGTCCTGGAACAGTGAGACCCAGGCCTTGGGAGGGGGCAGGAAAGAGAGGAGAGGCTTATCTTTTGGGAAGAGACTTCCTGTTGTGTCTGTGTGGTGGTCCAGCACCAGCTTCAGCCCAGGATACAGGGAACCCTTGGAGTTTTGTCTCCCATGGAACTGTCTCTGGCCCTGCAGGCAGCTGAGCTCTACCTAAACTTGGACCTCATCCAAGAAGCTATCGATGCCTTCATTGAAGGGGAGGAGTGGAGCAAAGCCAAGCACATGGCCAAGGAGTTTGACCCCAGGTATGCCCTGAACTTTGCAAACTATACCCTTGTTCCCTCTCCCACCTCCAGCTGATCCTTTGTCCTATCTTGTACTGTCCTGTTGCCCCTAGGTTTCCTGCATTCACAGGAAACATTCCACAGTGGCCTTTCCAGGCTCAACAGGGTACATTCTCCACAGCTACCCTTCCGAAGCCATTTAACATTCTGACATTTTCCTATTGCCACACATCCCACAGAAATTGTTATCCCCTTTTGTTTCACCCCTATCCCTATCTCCTTTGCCATAATTCTGTGCATGCACTTCGTTCTGAAAGCCCTGTTCTCCTCACATATTATGTTGTGAAGAGCTGCCTAGACCCTTTCCTGCCCCGTCCATCTGTGCACCTCCAGCCTGCTATCAAGACATAGCACAGCTGGAAGTCCACGGGTTCCAAAGTTGAGTCCAGTCTCTGCACTGATGCAAGACATGATTCTTGCTGCCTTTTGGGATTCTTTCTACCCACAGGTCAGAGGAGTACGTGGACCAACGTTATAAGGAGTATTTAAAAAAACAAGGAAAGGTGGATTCGGTATGTATTTGGGATGTCTCACAGCCTAGGGAAGGATGCCAGGACCTGTGCAGATCCTTGGGGCCTTTCTCATGGGCCTTTTGCCTGACTATGAGTGAGAAGTCTGTATGTGCCTGTGAGCCATGGCTACTGCATTCCAGACAACAGAATCATAGACGAGTTTGGGTGGGAAAGGATCTTAAAGCTTATCCTTATCTCATTAAAGCTTATCTCATTCCACCTCCTGCTTTGGGCAGGGACACCTTGCACTTGATTGGGTTGCTCCAAGCACGTATTGCTAAGTCATGTCCAATTTGTTGTCCACCATCACCCCAATGTCCTTCTCCTCTGGGCTGCTCTCCATCCATTCTCCACCCAAGCTGCATCTGTGCATGGGGTTGCTCTGACCCAGATGCAGCACCTGTCACTTGGCCTTGTTGACCTTCATGATGTTCACACGGGCCAGCCTCTTCAGCCTGCCCAGGTCCCTCTCAGTGGAAGATGAGTCACACAGGATCTGTGATTTCATGCTGTGGAGGGGAAGAGACTGTGTGTCTGGGAAAAAAAGACATGGGTGACCTGATGCCTGCTTGGATGGGAGTGGGAAGTGCACAGTGAATTTATGGCTGTTTCCATCCTTAGCTTGTGGGAATTGATGTCATGGCAGCTCTGGATATATATGCAAAGCAGGAGCAGTGGGAAAAGTGCCTGGAGGTCGCAGCTAAGCAGGTGAGTGCCTGTGTGAGCCCTCAGGGACAGACCTGGGGTCCTGGAGCCTTTTAGTGGGGGGGACAGCATGGAGAGCCACTGCAGGGGCTCAGGAAGCACCATGCCACTGTGCCCCTCATGGCCAGTCAGGCTGAGTGGGGAAGTGCTGGAACCTGGAAGCATATTGTGTTTAAATTTTGTGATTAATGGAGCATTGGAAGAAGCTAAATGAGTTGGTTGGGCTGGAAGTAATTGGTACCATGGAAACAGGGATTTGTAGAAGAAAGCCTTCTTTCTCTATGTTCTTGAGAGCAGTGGTGTCAGTCAGAATGAGACATCCTAGTCAGTAAAGCAAATTTGACGTTTTTTCAGTTTTACTGACCTGAAACGAGCAAAATTACCTCAGCAGACTAATGGAGAAAAGCAAAATGAAACTGTTTTGCTCTTTCAAGGCAGTAACAGGAGAAGACAGCTCTCGATTATCAGATGTACTTTGAGGGATGGTTTGTATTCCGTGGTTATTGACTAGTGATTGGTTATTGAATGGTTATTGGTTAAATGGTTGTTGATAATGGAGGTAACCAAGGGCAGGAAGTTCTTTGCAGTGAGGTATTGGTTCAGATTGAATAACAGAGCAGCCTTGGCAGCAGCGTCTGCAGTTGGTGTGGATATCACAACTTGTCACTCAGGCCAGCACTGAAACTTCGGGGAAGCGCTAGGAATGTCTGGGACTGCGGTTTTATAACTTTGGTTCCAATAACCTAAGTTTGAGTTCTGCTAGAGTGAACTTGATGTCTCTTAGACCTGGGCTTCCCTGTGATACAGATGATCTCTGTTGTAGTCATTGTTCTCTAGGGAGGCTCCCCTATTGATATTCTGCTTATCAGGAGCCACAGAGAATAACTGCACACTCCATTTAGTGGGAAAGACTCAGTTTATTGTATGGGGCACCACAAGGCCACATTGAGTCTAAGATCTTGGTGTCTGCTTGTGCCTCTAAGAGCATTAGCGTGACCCTTTTCCGTGCAGAATACAATCACTGACTCAGCTGCTCTACAGTGATAACACAGCAGAAATGGTACATTTATCAAAACAGATCACATACCAGACTTAATCTTTATCCCAAGATTTACTGAACATGGTGCTTCACCAGCACCCCATGTGGGTGTTTGAGTTCTGGACACCTCCTGGTACACTGTTTTTTTTTTCTGCATAATAATCTTGCTTCCATTGCTCAGTTTTTAACAGGATTGCACATTTTGTGCCATTTTCTCCCTCTCATTTCTATATTTATGCATGTGTGAAGCAGTTCTTTCCTCACTTGAATTTCTGTGAGGCCAACAGCAGTGCTCAGCACTGTCTATGGGGTCAGCACAGATATGAGCAGCACCCTAAGAAGGTTTGCAGTCCTGGAGCTGTTACAGCGTGTGGATAATGGACTAGAGCAGCTTTGTAAATCACAAACATCTTCACCCAGGGTTTTAGTTACTTTCTTTGTTAGACTAAGGGCTGCTTTACAGTTGGTAGCTGTGTTGACACATAGTAGAGGTGCTGCATCCTTCAGGTGTTTGGCAGTATTCCTTTGGCAAGTGGTGAACAGCTGGAAAACAGCTGTATTTGCATGTGTGGAGGATCAGCACAGCATCAGCTAGCCAAGATAAAGGTGTCAGCAGGACTCAAATCCAAACCCAGGTGTGCTTCGGGCAGTCTGGCACTGATTAAGTGCTTCAGTCTTTGGGACTCAGCTGTGTGGGGTTGTGCACACACAGCTGAATCCATCCCCATCAAGTGGCAAGTCTTCAGTTCCTGCATCTCATGCTGCTGCTTTCTGTCATCCCAGAGCTATAAAGTCCTGCACAAGTACGTGGCTCTGTATGCAACACAGCTGATCTGTGAGGGCAGCTGGGATAAAGCCCTGCGCCTGTACGTCCACCACGGAGCACCTGCCAACCCACAGGTAACGAGGGCAGCAGGACACCCCTGCTGGGCTGTCCCAGTGTGTGTGACCTGCTGCATCAGTCAGGCTCCCAGCCTGAGCTGGGATTGCCTCGTGTTCCGCATGTGCAGCCCTGCGGTGGATTCTTCCAGAGGGCTGAAGGAAATCTCCCAGCTTGTTTTGCACAGGAAGGAGCAGGGGAAGTCAAGTGTTGGAGTGCCTTGAGCACCAAGTTCAGAACAAAAGGAACCATTTGCCTCTGAGAGCATTGGCTACAGGAAGCATGCTTCCATCCTTTCCTGTTTTCTTGCCTTGTCCCCAGCACCCCTTCCAGCCAACAATCTGCAGCACGGCCAATCTGGCCCATTTTCTTGGCCTGTGCTTGGCAGAAGGCGAGCTCAGGAGTCCACTGACTCCTCAGCTGTCTCCTTCCACACTTCCCTCCTTTTTGTTGCAGAATTTCAATATTTACAAGCGTCTCTTTGTGGAGATGGTGAATGCACCTGGCATGAACTGTGCTGAGGCGTACTCCAGCTGGGCTGACCTGCGGGATGTGCTCCTCAGCCTGGTAAGTGTGGCCGTGGCCACTGCTGCCTATTCAACTCCAGCCCCAGGGGGACTCGACTGAGCAGGAAGAAGAACCAGTCTCTTGACAGGTGTCATGGGCAGTGTTTTTAGAACACAAGCTAAAGGTAAAGAGCTGGCAGTATGGACAGTAGGAAAACAGGATCCTGTGAAGTGGATGTGGCTGAGCAAGAGATGGCAGAGAAGGAGACGCTGTGCTCCAGGCCAAATCCTGGGAATGGGTGTGGACACTGGCCATTGCAGAGCTCCACGTGTCACTGTGACATGGGAGCTGTTGTGACATCTTCTTCTTGTCCTACACCCATATTCAGCAGCTTTCATGGGGAAGGCACAGAGCTACTGAGTCTGGAAAAGATGAGTCCTCCACATCTCCCCATGGATGCTTAGAGCTTTCTGCTCCTCATTCCTGTCCAAAGCACCTCAGCCAGAGCCCATGATTGCCTTATCTCTTTTCCTGTCCCACAAATACCTACTTTGAGCATAAGCAAAATCAAAAAATCCTCCCTTTGTCCATCCAGACTCACCCCTGCTTCCAGTGTTGGCTATTGTTGCAGTACTGGTGGCTCTCCATGGCTCCCACAGCCTCCTTCCTTCAGCATGCTTTCAGACCCAGAGCACCCGAGGCCCAGCCCTTGTTCAGTCCCAAAGGTGTTTCAGATACTTCCCTGTCTCATGTGGATGAAGAGTGCCCTCGTGCTCTCCTGCTCTCAGCTCCTCTAATTTTCTCTTATCAGTGTGAAAACTTAGCGAAGTCCAGTGAGACAAACACTCCAGCCCATGAGGAGTTTGAGAGGATGCTGCTGATTTCCCACTACTGTGCCACCCGCTCCGCCGCGCACGGCCTCAAGCAGCTGGTGAGGCTTTGAAGTTCCTCTGCCAGGTCACCACCCAGAGTGGGGAATCCTATGGGGATTTGCAGGTTTGGGGCTGTTCACAGGTTACTATTCCACTTTGCAAATCACACATCATAGATGCATGAGAATGGGGCTGCAATAATCTGGGAGCCCACCACTAGCAGGTGGAACTGTAGACGGTCTTCTCTACTTATTGGGTGAATACTTTTCCACTTACAGTGGGTACTGCCCCAGCCGCTGTGGCTAAGCTGTAAACCAGGGCATCCATGTGCTTGGCATGACTTGTGAGAGCAGAGGTGCCAGTAGAAAATGAGGGATCACAAAAAATCTGCTCTTCCCAGGAGAGGGATTGCTTCCTCTCTGCTCTCCTGGGCTCCAAGAGCTGCTGAGCTTCACACGTGGTCTTCAGAGAAGATCATCTCCCCAGGGCTTTAGCAGGTATTGGGCCTGTGTGCTGGGCCTCTTGGTGGGCTTTGGGAGCTTCTGGACCTGTGTGAGGGTATCACAAGGCCCTGTAACTATTTTGGAGTTGTGTGCGCTGGGATTTGTTCTTAGCATCCCTGCTGAAGTCTTGATCCATGTGGGATTGTGGAATTGTTCTAGAGCTCTGGATGGATGTGGGACTGGAGTTGTGATGAAGAAGGCTGGGAAAGGACCACAGTGAAAGCCACAAGGGACGACTGGGATTTCCCCATGGCTATGTGTGTGGATGTTGCAGGTCCAGGAACATACCAAGACAGCAAGAGCAAAGTCTGATGTCTTGGAAGCCTGTACAGATCTTCACAGCTGGGGAATGTTGAGAGGCTGGGCAGTCTGTTTGGGACCATGAAGAAGGGGTGGCCTTGACAGTTCTTGTGTGGCAATGGGTATCTGGCAGCAGAAGAGTGAAATTATCCTTCAATTCCTCACCCCTGCTCCAAAATTCTTACATAATTGCATACAAGAAAAAATTTATTGAGACTGTAGCTGGAACAGGATTCTTGGAGAGGTTGAAGAGTCTCCATTCCTTGAGATGGTCAAAACCTGACCAGGCATGTTCTGATCCAGGCATGTAGCTGCCTCTGCTTTGACCAGGGCTAGGGGCAAGATTTGGGAGCTGCCAGCAATGTAAAGCCAGCAGTGCCTTCCAACCTCACCTGTTCTGTGACTTAGATGGGGGATGTTTGGGTGTGGCTTCTAGTGAAAAATAACAAGGCTTGTAAAGTAGAAGAATTTCACCCTCAGGTGATAGTCCCATGTGTTCTGTAGTGAGGGAACTCAGGGTCAGGACTGGAGTTTTTGACCTTTTTTGCCTGTAGGGCATGTATGGGTGCAGAGTCCTTGCTGTGAGTCTGGGGTGATCTCATGAGATCCCTTCCAGCCTGTTCTTTCTTTGCTGAATTGTTGTAGTGTTGCTGTCCTCTGTGTCCCCAGGACACCATGGCTGCCCAGCTGTCCATTTCCCTGCTGCGCCACACGGATCTGCTCCCTGCAGACAAGGCTTTCTATGAGGCTGGGATAGCTGCCAAGGTAAGAGCTGCCTGGACCACAGGACATACGGCACCATGGGCTCAGGGATTCTCAGCTTTATCTTCCCAAACCCTCCCTTGGCTGCTGGACTCTGCCACTGGAGGCTGTTCCCCAAGCAGCTGGCCAGACCTCAGCCAGTGAGAAGGTGAGACCTACAGACCCAGGAGTGGGCAGAGGCCATATCATAGCTCTGTTGGTGTGGATGTGAGACTGCTCAGCTCTGCTCTGCATCACACGAGTGTCTGACAGTCTGTCTGAGAGTTATGACACATGGCAAGGACAGCAGCATGTCCTCGCTGCCTGGACCTGGCTGTGCAGTGATAGAATCATGGAATGGTTTAGGTGGGAAGGGACCTTAAAGCTCATCTTGTTCCATCTCCTGCCATGGGCAAGGACACCCTAAACTACAACAACCTTCCACTAGACCAGGCTGCTCCGAGCCCCATCCAGTCTGGTCACAGTGCCTGTGTCCATTCTGCGGGACAGCCTGTGGCAGTGAGCTGGTTGTCCAAGGGATTCAGTCTTTGGGGATGGCAAGCTGGAATGTGCAATCTCCTTGTCCATTCTCTAGGCTGCAGGCAGGACACTGTGGCACAAACAGAGCCACATCCTTCCCAGCCATGGCTCTGTGAGAAAAGCTGTCTGTGAGGATGAGCTGCCCAGTCTCACTCAGGGTTCCTTTCCATACCAGGCAGTCAGCTGGGAGAACATGGCATTTGTCTTCCTGAACCGCTTCCTGGACCTCTCAGATGTGAGTATGGTCTGTGGGGGGAGGGCAGTCTCTCAAATTGCAGTGGCTCTAGGGCCACCACAGGTCCCCAGCCTGGCCAGGGCACACCTGAGGCTCCTGCATGGCAGCACACGGGAGCTTGTACTGATGGAGAGAGCCCTCTGTGTGTGCCTGGAGAGCAGTGGGCACCCTCACACTGCCTGGGGGAGGACCTGCCATGCAGGGCACCTGCACAGCCCTGGCCAGGTAACCCTGGGTGTGCCAATGCCTCTGTGCACATGGCAGCAAAGAGCACATTGGCCTGACAGCTGAGACCTGAAATCCTCATGGCTGCCGATGCCATTACAGCTTTCAGGGTGATGTCACTCAAGTTGTTCCAAGAGAAGAAAAACTACTTGGGAGATGGAGGCCGTGGCCCAGTGCTTTGGCCACTGTGATACAAGAGTGGGGAGTCCCCTCAGTCCCTCCTTTGACCAGCAGGTTGACCATCAGAAGCACCAAATCCAAGGGAGCAGACAGACCTCACTGTGCCAGACTCCCAAGTGCTGTCAGCAGCAGCTGGGGGAAAACAAAAGCACCTGACTATGGCAGTGTCTGAGAGACTGCAGAGGGTGGTCACACATGACAGGAGGGCCTGGTCAGCACAGCACAAACAGGCAGGGGCATCCTCACCATGAACTGTACTGTGAGCTCTATAACTGGCATTGCCCAGTGCTCTACCCCTTCTTTCCCAGGCCATTGAAGAAGGGAACCTGGATTCCCTGGACCATTCTGATTTTCAGAGGACAGACATTCCCTTCGAAGTACCACTTCCAGCCCATCAGCATGTGCCTGTGAGTGTCACCTGTTTTCTTCAGCTCCTGTGAGCAGTGATGCTGCTTCAGGGCATTCCAAACAGGGATTGGGGTGAGGCTGGGATTGCAGAGACTGCCAGGGATGGAAACAGACCCAGAACTGCCACCTTCTGCCTGTCCTCCCACTGCAGCCACGCACACATCTGCACGGACGCGTGCACACACCGGTGTACACAAACAGGTGTGCACAGCCGTGTTGCACACACGCAGGCACACGCTTGTGCACACACACACACTCAACCACCATCGTGCACCGTGCACGTGCGTGTTGTGTGCATCATGCATGCCCATGTGCTGCCTGCTCTGTGGGGCTGCAGCTGGGCAGCAGCATCACGATTCCAGGCCTTGCACTGGCCTTTGCCCCCAGGAGGAGCAGCGGGAGGAGGTGAGGGACTGGGTGCTCACCGTGTCCATGGACCAGCGGCTGGAGCAGGCGCTGCCGCAGGACGAGCGCGACACCTACGAAGCCTCTCTGGTAGCAGCGGGGACCGGGGTGCGCTGCCTGCCCTGCGTGCTAACAGGTGAGCTCCAGAGCAGCTCACTCAGACAAGAGATGACACGGTGCCATGCAGGCAGTGACAACATGCTGCCGAGTAGGTCTGGAGGGGGTGTGGGGCTGTGCTGTAAGAGGAGGGGAGGGACTGTGGCTGTGGGGAACCAGCTCTGCTGGAGGAGGTAGGGCTCTTTTTTACTTTGGGGGTGAGTGAGCACTGGAACGGGTTGCACAGTTGTGAGATCACCATCCTTAGAGACAGTCAAAAGCTGTCTGGACACAGCCCTGGGCTGGGATGGCCCTGCCTGAGCCAGGAGTTGAACCATACAGACACCAGAGCACCAGATGGGGGCCTGCTTTGGGGCTCAGCTTGTTCTGAATGTGTCATTTTGTGCCCAGGGTACCCAGTGCTAAGAAACAAGATTGAGTTGAGGCCAGGCCTAGAAGTGAAGAAGGATGCGTGGTACAAATTTGTGATGGCTGTCAAGGTGAGCCAGAACCTCACAGGCAGGGAGACAGGCTGTGGGTGGGGTTCAGCCCCTCATGTTGACAATACAGCATCCTTCTGGGTGAGTCATTGTCCCAGGGCACCCCAACAGTGCTGCTTGGTGGGGATTGACAGACCCAGTCCTGCCAGCCCACAGGGTGCCCTCCAGTGCCAAGGCCTCCCTCTCTCTGCAGACATCCCACAGCCCTGCAGGCCAGGATGTGATCGAGTTCCTCCGACGGTGGTGTGGGGGACTCCCAAGCACCAGCTTCTCATTCCAGTAAGCAGGACTCTGGCAGCTTTCAGACCTGTCCCTCACCACCTTCCCCATCCAATAAACATGTTATCTCAGCCCTGCAGTGCTCCTGTTGCCAGGGGCTGCTAAGCCCAGAAGACCTGCAGCTGCTGGGCACAGGGCTGTAAACCCTGTGCGAGTCTCAACCCCCACATCCATGGGTGACTTTCACACTGAGGCCACGGCTCTGTCAATATCCCTGTGCTTGGGGAGTGGCAAGCACAGAGATGGGCTCACAGAGTCGCTGTGCTTTCCTTCCCTTGGCAGGCCTTGCTCCCAGCCAGAACTCACCTGGCAGAGCCACTCAGAACAGCCAGTGTGGAAAAGAAAAGTTTATTTATTGAAGAAAATTAGAGATCCACACAACAGGGATTCTTCCCCTTCTGTTCCCTGAGATGTCTGAGCACAGGCACAGCCAGCTGCCATGCCTGCAGTGGCACCAGGACTTGGGTCCCAGCACCTCTGCCCACCCCATCACTGCTGCCAGGAACCAGCGGAGCCTTCAGCACACCAGGAAGGTCCTGGCAGCCTGGGGAGAGATGGGAGAGCATCTGGGGCCCACGGCACCTGCTGACCTGCAGGGTCTGTCCCAGGTGGGGTGGTGGAGCTGGGGGGAGGGAGGAAGGCACAGCCCTCACCCCTGCAGACCACTTTATGCACACCAGCACTGCAGAAGGTGTGACATCGCCTTTTCCCCGACCTTGCTGGATCACAGCACTCCTGCAGCACCACCTGGGAGCGAAGGAGCATGTGCCATTGCCAGGCTGTGCTGCAGGGCCCAGCATCACATTGACTCCTCTGCCCATGTTCTTAGGAAGAGGTGTTTGGGGGGGCTGGTGTGGCTATGGGTCCTCTTGATGGCAGAGCCTGCTCCCCCTGTCCCAAACACAGCCCACAGGGTGCACTCACCTCTCCAGCTACACAGGAGACTCAGCAAGTCCTGCCAGGAGCTGCTGCCTCTCACGGAGTGGCTTCTCCATTGCTGTACTTGGCCTGGCCATCTAGAGAGAGAAAAAAAGACAAAAAAGAAGTGTAGGGTGGCGGGGACATGTGATGGGCAGTGTTGTCACAAAAAAAAAGAACGGGCTTGGCTACCAGGGGGATGAAGAAGAGGATCCCTCTGCAACTCCCCATGAAGAGATGCTGGTCTGGCCCTTAGGCTGGTTAGAAGAGGTTCCAACTCAGCATCCTCCCCAACTACTGCACAGCCTCCTTGTTCCCAGCACAACCCAGCACCTTCCAAATGCAGCACAAAGGCAGCAATCGTGGAGGAGACACAGGGAGATCCATCCAGCTCAGTGGGGCGTACCTGCTCTTTGCCATAGCTGTGTGCACAGGGCCCGATGCCCTGGAAGACGAGAGCCACTAAACAGCACCTGCCTGAGATCACGGCTTCTGCAGCTGCCAGCAGCAAGGAGGGAAACCAGAGTGCCAGGGCTGTGTCCTGCGGAGCAGAGGTCACAGGAACGCGGGCACTGCACCAGGCTGGCTGAACACACTCAGCAGAGACCGTGTGGACAGCAGGGGAAAGAACGGGGAGAGGGAGAGAGAAGGGAAGCAGGAGGGAGCGTGAGAGTGAAAAGACGAGAGGAAGCAGAGAGAGAAGAGGCTGATGGGAGGAGTGGGGGTGTGCAGTGACCCTGCAGACTCACGTAGATGCGCGTGGTGTTGAAGGGACAGTCGTTAGTCGCAATGGCTGCCCGGGCATCCAGAGGCAGCGCGGAGCTGTTGCAGCCCCTGACCAGGTGCGTGCCCCGGCTGTGCACCGTGAGCGCGACGGCCAGCGCCAGCCCCGCGCTGCACGCCGTGGAGAGGAGGCAGTTCAGCACAGAGATGCTCAGCAGGGCCCAGTGCTGCAGGCGGCAAGAATGCGGGTGGGACTGGCACGAGCTCGGGGAAACGCTCGGGCCGGGCACCGATGGAGAAATGCTCCCCCGAGGGAGCACACACCATCTCTCGCCTCTTCCAGGTCGGCTAGACCCTGCCCTCGGATGAGGGTCTCACACTTTTCGCATCCTTCACCCCCCCGTGAACTCCGCACAGCTGGACCCCTTCTCTCGGGCTCCGTGGAGACCCCACACAGGCTCGGCTGTGTGCCGGGAGCCCCCAACCCCAACCCCAGCCCCAGCCCCAGCCCCAGCCCCAGCCCCAGTCCCAGCCCCGCCCGGCCCGGCGCACCCCAGCCCGTGTCCGCCCACCCTGCGAGCCCTGGGACCCCCGAGCCGGCGGCAACTTCTGCCCGAGGACGGTGCCGCCACCCTGCCGGAGCAGTCGGCAGGGCCGGGCCGGACACAGGCGACACCAGCAGCCGCCGCCGAGGCGGAAGGAGCCCGCGGGGCCAAGGTCCAGGGGAGCGGCTGCGGGCGGGGCAGGGCCGCGCCGAGGTCCCCCTGCCCGCTCGGAGCCCCGCACTCACCAGAGCCGCCCGGGACAGGTTGTGCGACACCAGGATGGCGACGATGCCCGCGGCGATGCTCTGCGGGGAGACCTGCGCTCAGCAAGGCCCGGGCAGGGCAGGGCCGGGCCCGCCGTCCCCCGCCCGGTCCGGCCGCGCTCACCAGCAGCCCCGAGCACACCGACACCACGTTGGCCGCCGCGTATTCGGGCGTGACAACGCGGCGAGCGCCGGCCACGTGCCGCAGGACCGAGCCGTGCACGATGGCGCCCAGCACGAGGCTGCCGTGGCCCAGCACGATCAGCCCCAGGCCCGAGCGCATCAGCCGCCGCGGCTCCGCCAGCGCTCCCGGCCCCCGCCGCCCCCCGGCCATGGCCGCCGCCGCCGCCGAGCGCCGCCCCGGGCAAGGGACGAGCGGCCTCGGCCCGGCCCCTCCGCCCCGCCCCGCCCCGCCCCGCAGGAGGCGGCACTCGCGTATTTACAAAACAGTTTATTAAAAATAGGAAATGATAGAAATGAGATGCAGGAGCCGCGGCTCGGCCCGGGAGTCCGCGGGAAGGGCGGGGGCCGCGGGGCCGCAGCCCGGGGCCAGCACTCGCCGCGGCCCCGGGCGGTGCGAACCGGTAAACAAAGTGCAGCCGGCGGCGGGAGCGAAGCGCCGGGCGGGGAGGGGGACGAGCCCGGCCACCCCTGGGCCCATGGCGGGGGAATGGGGGGGGAGCGACCGGGGGGTGCAGGGCTTAGGGGCTCACCCCTGTTTACCTTTAAATAAAAAAAAAAAAAAAAAAAAAAAAAAAAAAAAAAAGGAAAAAAAAAAAAAAAAAAAAAACAAAAAACATTTCTGTGCTGTGCAAAAGACACTTTGTACAATTCAAACAGAACAAACTCCATGCACATGAGTGGGGCTACAGAACACCCCAAGCCAGGCCTCAGCTCCGCAGCACAACCTGGCAAATCCCAACAAAAACAGGGCTGGAAATAATACTGATGCGCAAAGTCCCCTTTAGGAGGCGGGCAGGGAGGACTGTCAATGAGCCCAGCCACGGCACATGCAGGATGAGCTTCCGAGCACTGCAGCTGGGGTCTCGTGGATGCCCGCCGGTGTGGGCACACACAGATGGGCCGCAGGCAGCGAGGCCATGCTGGCCACCCAGCAGCCACAGGGCTAAGATGACACAGTCACGGCCGTCAGGGCTCCATTCCGAGTGTAGTAGAACTTGCTAAATGCCTCTTCAAGTAAACAGGTGAGTCTGCTCTGGTCAGCCTGGGGACAACAAGGAGAGTGAGGGGTAAGCCCCATGCACTCCCCCAGGGCAGGGACCTGGTTTATTCCTCCTGCCTCCTCCCCATGGAAAGGGCTGAGAAAGGAACACAGGCCTATAGCCTGAGACCCTGCTTACCTCGCTGATAAATCCAAGCTGGACCAGTTCAGCTGCCAGCTCCTGGATGTTGTCATCTGCAAGACAAGGAAAGGCGTCAGTCCTTGGTCCAAGGGTGCTGCTGGCCCCAGTGCACCTTGGCCGGGGCAGAAGGTACTTACTGGGCTGGAGAAGGTACTTACTGGGCTGGAGAAGGTACTTACTGGGCTGGAGGTCACAGCTCAAGTGTCGATTCAACTTGTCTTCCAGTTTCAGCAGCAGTGTCAGCTGCAGGGCAAAGAAATTCTCATGAGGGATTGCAGTCCTGCAGGCTGCCATGGCAAGCCCAAAGCAACCCTAGAAATGCCCCCTGGTATGGGAACTACTCCTCCAGAGCCCCACAGGGATCTAATGAACAGCCACAGCCAGTTCCATACTGAACTGCAGCTGGCAGCACCATCCTGTGCTGGAAGCCAGGACCTGGGGGTGGGCCCAGGTGCCAGGTCAGCAGCAGGCACAGGCCTGGGTCAGGCTCTGGGTCCTGACAGTGGCAGCTGCAGCAGTGTAGGGTTACCCCAGGCACCAGCAGCACATCCGAGCCATAAGCCCTGCCCCAGCTTCCCCCAGCTCAGCCAGCCGTAGAAACGTACGTGGTGCTTCACCCCCTCCTCCACGGACTCGATGTTGCACTGCATCAGCACCACCTGGAACAGAGGCACAGACCCCATAAGCAGCTGCTCCACATCCCTGCCTGGCAACGGGAGCACGAGGCAGAGCCCCTGGCATTTACCTTGCGGGTCTCCACCTCAGCAGGCTCTGGAGTTGGGGTTTTCACTGATGGGGGAGCAATGGGAGATTTCACCACAACTTGCTGGGGCTGCTGGGGTCGTGGCATCCCAAAAGCTGTGAGGGGATAGATTCCATTCCTGCAAGGAAGGAGCAGTGTCTGAGGTTATACCTCTCCAAAATTTTTGCAGTCTCACACACCACAAAGTTGTCTTTTTAAAAAAACCCTCTTACCTCACATCCTCCAGGAACTTGTCCAGCTCCAGTGCAGGAGACTGTGAGAAGCTGGAAAAGAAAATGTCCTGAGATAAGAAATCATCTCACAGTACCATCCACCTGGGTCTCTTGGGGTGGAGTTTCAAATCCCCATGTCCTGGGCTGTGTCCACAGGTAGGATGGGTGTGGACAGAGTCAGCCTCTGATGTGACAAGCTCTCATCTTCCCTTAAGGACATAACTATCTATAGGAGCTAAGGATGAGGCAGCAGTTATGGCACAGCCAGTCTCACATCCTTCAGAACCGTGCAATGCAGAGTTATTTGGAGGGTGGCCCAATGACACTGTTCCTGGTGAGCTGTTTCACAAACAGGTCCCTGGTTGCAACAAGCACTTGGAACAGCCAAACCCCTGCCTCAAGGCTGTTCTGAAGCATTCCAGAGATGAGGTAAGGACTGTAAAACCACTGGAAGCCTGACAGGATATTCACAAGTGCTTTATTGGCTGCACACCTGCCTCAGCTCCCAGAGCACTCTCCAGCCCCTCCCACACCCCCAGCAGCTGGGATCACTCTAACACAGCAGTAGTTTTCAACAAAAATTTACAATTTTTTTTCTAGCATGGCAGTCCAATGAACCATCCAGAAATTATGCTGGCATTTCAAGTCATTGCTGCTTTCTTTTCCTTTTCCAGCACCTCTGAGGTACGGCACTACAAGAAGCAAATTCCAACCTGGCACGCGCAGCCAGCCAAGCCCACAGACACTGACATCCCATGAATGTAAGGATCTCTCTTGCACAGCTTTGGCTGTTCACTTACTCTTCTGCATTTTGAAACTATATCAAAACCATTCCAAAGAGAATTTCATACTACTATTTCCTAGCACTATGACAGCTGGAACATCAGCTTTTGGATGGGTCTCTGTGGCTCAGAGAGCTGCTTACATGGACGGAGCTGTTCTCGCTTGTCACCTTGGTTACTACTCTTGTTCAGCAGCCTGAGCACTCCAGAACTCTGGGCTCCCCCAGAAGCACCCTAGGCTTCCCTGGGAATACAGTATTCACACCTTAGTCTTCAGCTAATCCCTTGACTAGCCAAGGCTTTGTTATTCAAAATGTACATCACTTTTTTGGCACTCTACTTGCTCCATATGTATTACAGCCATTCCCTTAGGGAGCCACCCCTAGAGTGTAAATAGTGCTGTGTGTCACTGACAGCTGCCTCCACTGCCTTTCCCTGTGCATAGCGTGGAATAAGATGCTCCATTAGGAAAACACTGAGGAACCCTTTCTCTCAAGTGCTGGACTCCATCTGGCCACTCTGTGATTGGTCAGAGCACCTCCCCAAACTGGTCAGCCATGTTTTGCTGGGCACTGCTCCAGCTACAGTGTGCTCATTTTGTCCGTCCATTTGGGGAACAATTCACCTCAGCTGCACAGAATATGCTCCCAGGAAACAGGTGCAAGGTCTCCTTCCACCCAGGAAGTGTGTGTGCCCAGTCAGTGATTGCTCCTTCACCTCCAGCTCCAGCAGCTCCCACTGGCACCCAGTCAGTGGGGAAACACCAGCACTGAGGTGATGGGCAGAGTCCCAGTGCTTGCACCAGTACCCCAGCACTGCTCCCCTGAGCATACCATGGGGACTTACATCATCTTGACTCCTTCCCTGTCCTCGTGATTGATCTCTGCCAACACTGCATTCATGTCGAGGTTTTTGGTCATTTCTTCTAAAGCATTTTCAGGAATCATATCTATTTTTAAAAAAGGAGTTACTTAGAGCAATTGCAGTTCCTCTCCAGCCTTAGAAAAGCAATGAAAAGTGCAGAGGTCTGATGCTCTCTGATGCTCTCAGAGCAGGTCAGGAAGCGTGGCCCTCCCAGCCCCACAGCTGCGTACGACAGCCAGGTATCCTACAGAGCAGCAGGGGATGGGGAGGGGCGTTCCCAGCCCAGGGTGCCAGCTCCCTGGGGTGAGCACTGACAGCTCAGCAAAGCTCTGCAGAGCACTGACCCATGTGGGGATGTGGCTCCCAGAGCTCTGTACTCACGCTGGTGCCCAACGATGCAGTGAGCAGCCAACAGCTTCAGCGATGGCACCTCAAACAGCGCCTGGTGGAACAGGAGCTCCCGGGCCGTGGGACGCCTGCCAGGGTCCTGTTCTAGACACTTCTGAATGAACTCCTAGAGACAAAACCTGCATGAAACAACAAGCAATGGCACCAGAGCAATTCAGGGCACCAAACCCCCTGGCTCACCCGCTGCAGGGGGTCCTCCAGCAGCTGGATGGCACTGTTGATGGCCTCCTGCGGCACGTAGGATGACTCCCCGTTCCCCTGGATCTCCAGCACCGCCATCTGCAAACAGAGAGTAGAGCATCAGACTCCACTGGGAATGGCAGACTGCATGGGACATAGGCTCAAGGAGACCACTGCCAAGCACGAGATCACCAGAGCCAAGCTGTTTGGGGGTACTTAAGGTCACATTTGGAGAGACAGAGAGAATGGCTGCCTCATTACAACAGCTTGCTCCTAGTACCCCAAGACTGCCAGGGAGCCCTGCTCTGCCAGCAGCAACCCGGACAGTAAGTGTCTCCATTTTGAACCACATTGGCCTGTTATTCTGTTTGATAATTCCATAATAAAGCAGTTACTGGATCCCTGCCAGGATCTGGCAGTGTCCCTTCTGGCTCTGCATCCCAAAACAAGAGCAAGCACACAGCACATCAAGAATGGGCTCCACAACTACACAGACACTAATTCCCAGCTAGGAAAGGCTGGAAAATATTGCAGAGAATGTCTCTACATTCAGCTTAAGTTTTGTTTCCTAAAAATTGCATCTTTCCACAGTTCTCTTCCAGTTTCACTAATGGAATGTGCAGCACAGGATGCGGGTTCCTTGTGTTGGCTCTTTCTGACAATTCTCAGAAAATACTCCTAACAATAACTCCCATTACCTGGACTTGGACCTACTGACTGCAAGGACAGGGGAAGCACAAAGCTGCTACGACCAGGTATGT